CCTACAGACTGTCTCAGCTGAAAAGATAAAAGTATCAAAGCCCTGCGACTATTGCACCAAGATTTGGCTATTCCTTGTCTCATCCACAGGAATCCACTGGTTCCAGACCACATCTCATTCCCAAATCATCAACACTTTTAGCACTGGGGGAAAATCCATAGCAGGAGGAGTAGAACTAGCAAACCAGCACTGTTACAAACAGCTGAACAAAGCATTAAGTCCATAGATACACAAGACACACACACATTTTACTCTACACATATGTTCAAGTCAAACTAGTCAACAGGATTTAGTTGAATACTTAGAAGCTTTGCTAATTACAGTTTAATTTAACTTTTGCTTGGCTACATCAGAGCTTTATCAAAGGTTTAACTACTCAGCCGGCTCTCACGCTATCACAGAATTATTACTACCTCTGAAAACTAAGTCAATCTTTTGCCACAGGCTTCAGATGCCATTTCTCCAAATTCTGTCAAGATCTCCACCCACTCCAGAAATAGCAAAAATCCAAAGATGATTAAGGAGATAGTCTTTTAGCTTATACTTCATGCAACACTAGGAAAAGCAAAATTAAACTTGGCTAAACAGAAAGGTTATATAATACTAATGTCAAAATACACCATTTTAATATTGAGACTAATAATGTCTTCATTAATAACAGTGCATACATCTATTAAAATTGCAGAATTTAATATATTTGGGAAGCTCCATATAATTTATCTAAATTGCTAGTCCAGTAGTCCTTTTTGTATGAAAATCAAGCCCAATAGTATTCTCGTTAAGATGCAGAGCCTTATAAACATTATTAAGTCCGAGATTAATTTGTATTCAGTGAAGCAAGTGAGGAGGCATCTGTTGCATTTTGCCAGTTAATCATAAACATTAAACTTACTCTTTGATATGCTTACCTTTTTCAACAAGAAGACTAGGTTTCTGGTTAACCCTGGCTGCTTAATCAAACTAAATTTGGGTAGTAAATGAAACTGTATTCATACTTTAAAAACTATAGTATTTGTTCAAGTTTTCAAGTAAGTTACAAGTGGAAAAAAGGCCCAACTAAAGCCTCGTGCATACCATATCTGTGAGGACAATAAAATAGCTGCAGGGATATAAATACAGATGGGCACCAGATTCTGGAGCAGTTGCCTCCAAATACAGCAAGTAGGTGACTACAAGCACCCAGTGAGAGCACAGAAACTGGTACCTAGCTGGCACCACTGCTGTCTAATTAAAAAAACCCAGAGTGAAATAACATTGCCTGCTGAGCTATCAGAAATCTTGATCCTTCACTGATCCCGTGGCCCAGAATTTCTGGAAGTCTCTGCTTAGCCAATACCACCAAATGACTTCTATATTCCTACACATGCATTAGTGCTCTGAGAAAAGAGTTGAAAACATCAGCTTATGTAATAGACACCCTTCCTAAAACATCTCTTCAAAATACATTACCACATGTGTTTGAGATCAGACTTTTGGTGCCTCAAAGCAAGTGAACATGGCTAGGCATTACTTTATGTTCTACACAACTTTCGCATCATTCATTACCCTACATCACCATTAAAAAGCAAATAATGGAAAAGCAAATTAACTACTGTATGAACCTTTGAATTTAACTTTAAATTGCATGGAATAGATTTCAAGGGGTTTATGGCATAGAGGCAATCTCAGTGTCTACTGCTGTTTGCAGTGTGTGTACCTTCAGCTTAGTGGTAACTTCCTGAACATGTACTTTCACATTCTTGCCAATTCCAACTTAAAATACTCAACTAACAGACTTTTCCAAGCTTGACTAAGTGGTATTGAGTTTGTTTTTAAACATTTAAAACTGAATCAGATAAGGTATTTTTGGTTTAGAGAACCTTCTGTAAGGAGTGCGGAGAAATGAAACTTTTTGCAAAAGTGAAATTACATCTTTTTGTAGAAAGGAGATAAGAAATACATATTTCTTAAGCACTCATTTCAGTATTCTCTTGTTCTCTCCATCACAAAATTTTCTAATCTTGTCATTTCTCATCTTCAATTACATACAACAAGTATTATAGACAACTACCACAGGTGCTGTATTTTAAAGACCCCATTCTTTCAAACTCCTTCAAAAATCAGCCTTGAATTCTTTGTTAAATTTCAATCAAATCAAAGTAATTCTTTGTTTGTTCTACTCAACATTATAAAATATAATGTTTTATTTATAAAACATAATATTTTGGTTTTGCATAAGTATGGCAAAGCAAAGTTCTACAAAAACAAAATAGAAATAATCAGCTTCATAAAAGCACCCAAACTACAATTTGCATGTTAACGGTTTTAGAGTTCAATAATTCTGGAACTTATTTTGCAACCCTAACATATTAAAGCTGATTACTCCCAAACTCTTTATCTTCATCATTGAGGTACATTTGAAAAACACTTATATAACATGTACATTGAATATTTACCACGTGGTCACAGAGACCAATCATCCTTGACTTACCACTTACGATCATTGTACATTCGATTAATTCTGTCCCATTCCGCATTCAGCTGGGTTAGTGCATCTCCTATCTGTATTGCCTCAGGTCCAGATGCTTCTAAAATAACATCAGGCTGCTTCTCATGTATGACTGCAATTTGATCCCCAAGTTTATCCAGAATATCTTTTATATTCTGCAAGCACAGTAATGACACATGCCATTAGTAAAGTCAACACCATCAGGAAGTAAAAAGACCAAAAAGTAGTCTCTGCAAAATACTGTTCCAAAAATCAGCATCTACAATAAGACCATTACCATGTCGTGAAGACACTGTACATACTCCTTCCTCATGTAAAAAATGGGCCACAAAATGTAACTTCATTATTCTTCATGTAACCTCCCTATGCACAGAACTGCAAAACCTAAAGCTGCATAGAAGCTTTAGATTTAAATGACAAAGTTAAAGTAATCATTCTCAAATATCGCACTATGATGTGAAAATACCTTTAAATCAGATGCTGCTTTAAGACTGCCTTGGTATTCGGAGGGCAAATAGTCCATGCACACAGTGGAATTTACTTATCTTTTTGAATTTAAAACAGTAATGCTTCTTAAAATTCTATGCTCTGCTATTTGCTTCTTCTGAAAATATCCTTAGAATGTACTAAAACTTCAAAATCAGACGAGACACCTGCGCCAACACCAAATATTTTAAACCCATCTTAACATAAACACTCCTAATTGTACTCAAGGGAACACAGAAGCAGAGGAAACAGGGACAAGAGAATCTCATCAGTGAAACAAAGGTCGCTCACTTTGTCAAAGGCTGGCATCATTCCATGACTTGCTTTTGCAAACCATGACAAAACTAGCATTAAAAATGGAAGCATGTTCACATCCTAAAGGATAGCAGGTCAGAAAAGTCGACTGAAATTCTGAAAAGCTATGCAACAGCTGTAGAAACAGCTGATCTAGCTCTTGGTGAGAGGCAAAGTCTGACTACCTCAAATATGACACACGGACACTGCTATGATTCCCAACCCACAGAGGTACATCTATACCACGTCATGTGTAATTCCCTGTTCCAGTTGATGTTTTCTTTGGGAATCTCTATCATGCTCTTTTGTATGCTGAGAATTAATGAGGTCTCAGACTTCTACATACTTAGCTCACATTTGACAGCCGGTTTCAGTATTTTCAAACTTAATTTCTTCATCCCCTTTTGAAAAAGGCCAAATCCTTTACTACTTCCTCATCATTGATCACACAGGTAAATCCACTGGCTGACAATAAGTGAGAGCTTAAAACTGAACATGTATTGATGTTTTGCCAATCAGAACAGGTACTGTCATCTTGGGGCCTCATATAAAAAGTCAAGAATCTCCCTTTCTCCCTCTTCACATAACATAAGAACAGCAACTGTATTAAGGAGACCAAGCACAAATGTAAGGAGATTAGGTTTAGCATCTCTATACATATTATGTAGACTACGTGATGAAAAATACAGCAGTGACTTCCAACAAGTTAAACCCTCAACCTCCCCATCCAGATTTCATGCTGCTCCACTTTGTATCCAGATTATGCACAGAAAAACTAATCACTTAACTGTCACTTTTTTTAATTTTCAGTGCATGTTGATCCTGTATGTACTGAGCAAAACCAGAAATATAGCTATATAGTTGCTAAGGTGGTGGTCTTCCTTCTGCTGATCCCTTTTCTGCTCTGAATACAATGTTTAGGCATGCAGTACCTTCAGTGCATCTTCCTGAGCTGAAAAATCCTCATAGATGCCAGTATTTAGCTCTGGTGAATTCAGCAGCAGTTCAACATCAGCCATGGACAGCAAAACTTTGTTGATTTCAACCAAGTACTCAGCTGAAAAAGGCATGGTCCTGACCCCTGTGGCAAATGGGCCTTTTAACCTCTGCTGGACAGGAATTGCCTGAAAACATGAAAGTTCATTTTATATTTCAAACAATAAGCAATTTTATGAAAAAAGCCTGTATCAGTTAACTTTATTCAGAACTTTCTACACTAAAAGACAAAACAAAGGCCTTTCTAGCAAGATTACAGAAGTTCAGAAAGCTACAAGTCCTGCAGAGGACAGTTTCTATATTTATTTTAAAAGTTTGAAAACAGTAAATATCATGCTTCACAATGACTCTGTATTAATCATGATTACGACTCTGGGGAATGGAAAGGGCATTGATATTTCTCTTACCTTGATCTTAACCAGTTCCAGAAATTACACTGCTTGACTGAGCCTGTATCTAGTTGTGATTGCAATCCACTGTGTCCTTCCTTCATTATCAAGGACTCCCAGAAGTTACCAATTACTGAAGCAGATTTTTTTCCTATCTACATTCTTTTCAATAAGCAACCCCAGCCACGTTGCCCAACCATTTTTTAAATAAATTAGTGCTCCACCAGTACCACAATATGCTTTCTGCAGTAATAAGAGACAAACTCCTCAAGAGCTTGGCAATTGTTTTCTGCTCTGGCTGCAAGACTAGGCTACCTAGCCAAGTACCATGTTAGCAGATAAGAGTAAGAACAATAATTTAATGCAGCTTTTTCTTGGCTCATAAATGAAGGCCTGCATCCGAAGCATTAGGAACCCTGCTGCAAGAAGCTATCCTCTGCAGTGCCTGGCAAAATTAGCAGAGGCAGGTGAAGCAGACAGAAAGTGGTTTTTCACTGAAAAACCTTCTTGTCAAACAGGTTTCTGTTACTGCCTCTGAAAACAGCCCAGTTCTCTAAAATCATCAAATAAACAATAAACCCATCACCAAATATCGAAGAATTCAAGCAAACTTCTAAGTCACCATCCTGTACTCAGTGAATTTGAGTCAAGCAAGACAGAAGCACTGGACTGTGTGTTTACTAACAACTGAGAACACACTTCAAGTGAAAAACAAAGGTATGTTCACAGCGGTTTCTGCTGATGAATTTTACTTTGCAATTTGTCTGGGCTGGGTGCACATATGAAAATCTCTAGTGCAGCTGACAACCAATAAAACACTAAGCCTGACTAACAAAGCTGTTTGCAAACACCTGTCCCTATCTTCCTCCTCCACATGTTTCTGAGCCCTTCAAATACGTCATTCAAATTAATGGCTATCTAACATATCCAGCACATGTAGTGCAAAAGTAAAAAGGACTGCAGCAGAAAAGCTATGTTTAGGTATTCACCATTCAGGACTTCTCATTCACTGAATGTTCCTACGGATTTTCTTTGTTTTGTGTTGGCTTGGGTTTTTTGTTTTGTTTCATACAGTAGACAGTCATCCCTGTATTGAAACTGGAGACACAGCTGTGCTTCCACAAGACCTTTACCACTAAATATGATTTGCTTTCATTCATTGCACACCAAAGAAACAGGACACAAGGGCATATAAGCGTAAGTCTACTGAAAACAAAAATTACGGAAAAGCATCACAAAATACTCAGTACTGCTTTTGATTCAGTACAGCAAGCAAGCGCCGCAGTTAAAACCAAGGATTACTCCATATCCCTTAGCTACAAAACCAGCATCTTTGTCCCCTATGCTTGAGGCTCTGCATATATTTTGTTAGCTTCCATCACTGAAATTTGGAGCAGAAGCCCAAGGCTTAGACAATGGTATAATTTCCTGTTGAAGGAGAGGCCCCAGCTCCAAAAATCAGACAAAGCTTGAGCAACTCAAAGGATGTCTTCCCTAACAATATGAAACAGGCCGAGGTTAGAAAAAAAGGGCAGGACACCTGCTACACAGGCCACCTGCAACATCTTCAAAAGGTATTTTCTCTAACTCCCAATCATTCTACAAGTCCCTGTCTCACACAGGCAACAGTCCAGAATCAAGACTTCACCCAAATGAATAGTACACTGGACCTCATTATGTTTCTACCTTATGCACATTGCTTTCTCTCTCATTAGAAAAATCCTGCACAAGATTTAAAGCAGCATGTGTTGGCATGCAGCAAACTTGTTATCCACTTGTTGCCACTGCTGACGTGCTGAAACTTTCTGCTTTCCCAGTGTCACCACCCTGGACCAGGTTGCTGCACTTCTGCAAAGCAGTGAATTCCTCATGGTGCTGTTCATCCAGAGCACACCTCATTGCTAATCTCCTCCAGCTGCCTCCCATCACTGAGAGGACTCTTCCACCTTTCACAACCCTCATTCTTAAAGGTGAACATATGTAAGTGCTATAAATACATTAGTGCTTTATTAGAGTAGTTTTAATTGTTCGGCTGTTCTCTACCTTGCATTGCAGACTGGAAGCTTCTAAAATGCAGCATAATATACTAAAAGATGGGAGTTTGACATAACTGTCTCTCACAAATCAGATACTTAAGTGTCACAGAAGTTGGTTTTCAGGGTTTTGATTGCATGGTTGTGTTTTAGTTTTTTCATTAAAAAACCTATGCAAGCAAACCTCTTCACAGAATCAGAATGGTTTAAGGTTGAAAGGGATCTTAAATATTATCTAGTTTCAAACCCCTTGCCATGGGCAGCACCTTCCTCTACACCGGTTTGCTCAAAGGTCCATCCAACCATGCCTTGAAACCTTCCAGGGATGGGGCATCCACAGCTTCTCTGGGCAACCTGTCCCAGTATCTCACTGCCCCTCACAGTGAAGAATTTCTTCCTAATACCTAACCTAAACCTACTCTCTTGCAGCTTAAAGCCATTCCCCCTTGTCTTACCCCTACATGCCCTCGTAAAAAGTCTCTCTCCCTCTTTCCTGTCAGTCTCCCTCTAGGTACTGGGAGGCTGCTATAAAGATCTCCCCAGAGAACAACTCCTCTCAGCCTGTCTTTATAGGAGCAGTGCTTCAGTCCTCCCTCAGCTTTTCTCAAGCATGCACAAATAAAAAAGGTAATCAAAGGAGGAAATCTGACTGGATGACTTAATAGACCTTTTCTACTTTCATTTCAGTGGTGACAGCATGTTTATTAAATCTGATCTCTCTTTAAATACCAGGAAAATATAGAACAGGGGGAAGAAAGGGAATACTCAGTTACTAGTAAACATTCTATAAATAAGGCCTCTCAATGAGAAGTGCTCAAAATAATTTTAATTTAGGGATCAAACAAAAATTTGTTTCCTCCTCTACTTAGCATTCAGTTTGACCTGCAGTCCAGAAGTCGGTTTCAGATTTTCCTTGCTTCCAAGTGAATTTTGGAAAATACTGTCCAAGTATACTGCATGTTTAATTCAACATTTTAACCAAAAGTATTTACACCAAGTCAAATCTTACATCACCTCACATTATTTGTTGTTTTTGCAAATAAACACCCTTGTGATTAGAAACACTTTTTATCCATTCCTTGCCCCACCTCTCTCACACTCAAGATATTTCAGAGCCAGCTCTATAGAAAAAGATGTTCCAAAGCTCAAACCTCATGTCCATTTCATTTGTTCTTCTGTGTTAATTAATGCAATCAGCAAGCAATAATTCATAAACCTTCCCTATAAAAAGCACATTAGACAAATATGTTTTCCTTATTACAGGAATAACACTTCTAGAGCTTTCAAGATGGTGTCTGTGTTTCAGTTCATAGGAGAAGCTGCACTGCACCTGCAACAGCATATCCATTTACCATCTGCAAAATATCAATTTCGCTTCAAAACAGCTTCCTAAAACCTGGAAAAAAAACTCTTAGGAACTCCAGTCAACTAATTACCTCTGCAATTTAAGGTTTAATTTTTCCTTTCCCTCATTCTGAGCCAAATCAGAATAGAGCAATAAATAAATACAAAAGCAAGGTTAGACAAGAAGGACCTCAAGGAGATATAAACTTCCAATGCAGGCTTTCTTGCTAACAGATTTCTGGCAAAACAAGGGTTACTCAGAAGTACCTGACATGCAGAAGGGTTACCAATATTTCAGAGAGACTTAACTCCATAATCCCTAGAAGCATACATGATGAGAAATATTTATGATCCAGCTACTTCCATCTAATCAATATATAGCCATGACCTTCAAGCACCATAAATAAGTCTTCCCCTCCACACTTGTTTACAAAAATATAAATAATGTATTATATAAAACCTTAATTGGAGTCTACTCCCCAGCCTGGCAGCTTAAAACTTCTCTCTCCTCCCTGTTTATTCACTTCAAACACTAGTTTTTCTTTCTCTGCTCACTGTACCTTCCTTACATCAAGATGAGTGGCTAAGCCACCTGCACACCAGTGGGTCAAGAATTCATTTAGTGCTTGTCAGTCCTTAGCTGAGATGAGCAACAAGCACTGCAATTTTCATGTCTGGTGGCTCTGAAAAAGTTCTGGAGCAACTATGATTATCAAAAATGATGATGATATTTGGGAACAGTATTTCTCCCTTTAGCAATGTTATGGTCTCATACCATTTTTGGTGTTCAAGACTAATTACTAAAATAAGAGATAGAACAAGCCATAAATATAAAATAATTCCACCTGAGATAGGCTAGTTTACCACTCCAATATCAGAAAACTAGAGGCACAGGCACATGAAGCCAAAGCTGGAGTTTCAGTTCCAAGTTTCACAGCAGTAATGAAAACTGCTGTGGCCCTTTTTGAAAACCATAGAATCACAGAATTTTAGGGGAATGGTCCCAATCCCCACTGCCATGGGCAAGGACACCTCCCCAACTAGACCAGGTTGCTCAAGGCCTTATCCAACCTGGCTTTGAGCACTGCCAGGGTTGGAGCATCCCCAGCCTCCTGGGAAACCTGTTTTAGTGCCTCACCTAAGCTGACTTGGCCAGACTAGAAACTAAATCTGGAAGAGCAAGGATATTTTGACACAATTTAGCTAATTCTGAGCAAGAATAATGTTTCTCCATCAACAGTCTATTGTAATTGCTATGGTAATCTATATTTACATTATATTATATATTCAGCACCAGATTCAGTAATCCAGGAATGGATCTAGTAGTATCAGGGATTAGCTGTAGTATATCCCTCAAGAAAAGGGCTTCATAGGAAGCGAAGGATCTTCCTTAGAGAAGATCAGTGAACCTGCAGGGAGACCAGTGACAAGGAAGACTAGTCTGCGGCACAACTGGACTGCTGTCATTAGCAAAAGAACATCCAGGTGCATCTTTTTCCCATTTCAATCCAGTAATTGATTCACTCAAAGCATTTGATGGTCAAATAGAAAAACTGAATCATGTTGTTTTACTTTAAACGTGTATGGAACCGCATTTCCTTCCAACAAATTCCATGCCGTCAAGTCAGATGTCAAGTTCATGTCACTGGAAGAGACTGCTGGAGACCCAACAGGGCAGCCAAATGTCAGACAGTTAAATAGACCCTGGGAACATCTTGGCTGCCCAGCTCCACATGGGAGGCTTATAATGTGAAAAAGTCTTTCCAAACAGAAGCAGATTTTAAGGGCTTACTTTCATAGCTGATACTGAATAGGCTGCATGACCAAGGAGAGCAGACTCTCTATCATAGGCAGCTGAAGCCCAGTAACACTACAGCTGTAAATGAAGAACCACATTATGACTTTGTGGTGTGAGTCTCACAGGGAAGCAGTGCATTTTACACCTGCCTCCAAGTTAATTGGTGCTGGGTTAAAAAGTTACAGAGCAGTCAAAAAGATTGATCGCTGTTAATTATAAAGCTTCATATGTAGAAACTGAGAAGTACTTGACAGATTGCCTAGCCCCCAAGCTTGTCCGAGAAATTACTTACTGCTTCACAAGGTTCATCACTGTTACTGCCTAAAATATCAATGTAATTACCACACAATCAAAGTGTTTTGAAGGATGAAAAGGAGAAATTAAAAAAAATTTCAAACACCACCAGCAAAAAATATCCATAAAAATTAAAAAAAAAAAAAAACCAAAGAAGTATCTATAACCCCAACAAATAAGACATATAACTTTCTGGGCAGTAAGTTTTATCAGACCCCGACATCCTCTTGAATTAGTTGCAAAATCGTTAGTCAAGACCCAGGCACACGTTATCAGAAATACTTCAACCTTTGTCTATTTTATTAATACCCATTGTGAACAGTAATATCAATCACATGAGGGCAGTTATCACTTCCTAAGCACCTGTGGCAGTGAAAGGCATCCATGTAGTTAGAATTTCTCAACCACAGGATGCAGAGGCACTGAATTTAAGCCTGGTATTTAGGTTGTTTTAAGCCATAGCCTCAAAAAGGGTAAGCATAATCCCAATGGATTAAGACTGGCAAAAGAAACTGTGCTGAATCAAGTCCACTGCCTAGATCACGCTCTAAAGTTTGGTCCTGAGAGATGGGATATTTTGGACCTATGATGGCTATGTGAAATCCCAAACTAGTATACGCTGGTAATTTCCTAATGAAAAATCAATGCTGTCATTTTGAAAACACTTCTTTTCATGGAGGTGTAAAAAGAAGAGCCATTAAACCCTAATATATGAATCTCTAAAGCTCATACATAACATCCACTCTGCTTGCTCTAAAAGTCTCGTTTACCTGTAGCTTCTGTTCATCTTCCACACCTTGCAGCCCTAACAGACGGTCCTCAGCCTCATCCAGCCACTTCATTAGACTGTCATGTTCCTTCTTATATTGGGAAAACACTGGAGAGAGTTCTACCGCCTGCCTTCTCTGAAATGACCTGCACTCCTACAATCCAGTGTATGGTATAAAAAGACGGAAGTAGTGAAGAGAATATGTCTTATTTATTTGAAAAACAAAAATAATTGAGGGATTCAACTGAAGAAGCAAATTCCAAAATATGCAGTGTTGGTCATTTAATTTTTTTAATAGCTATTTATCTGCATAGGCATGCAATCAAAGCCAGCCTGAGGGTGGTAACCTGCCTTTCAGCTACACCTCACCTTGCCTACTCTAATATGATTCAAACAGGTGAGCTAACAGGAGTGTAAAAATACATATCCCCTTTGTTCCAGACAAAAACATTTTTAACATGATATGCATAGGAAAACACCACAACATAGTGGAGTCCACAATTACTGCTAATACCCTCTACAGGAAACAAGAGGAATTTGGGAGCAGGCTCATTCACAGAAACATCTTCAGCCGAGAGCTCAATTATATGTTTGTGTACACGTGTCTATAATAGCCACTCTTCACACAAGCCAGGTGGAGGAAATAAACCCCTGTTCAAGGGCCAGCCAAGACAAGCAAAGCAAATTCCCAACTCACTGCACATGTCTGTGTGAAAACATACAGGGTGGCCTTCTATAAAGCTGAAAAAAGGACTTTGAAAAATCAAAACCACTCCCCCAAAACTCAGGAAAGACTAAATTCATATTTTGCAATTGCAAAGATTCAGAGCGTCAGATTGTTTGTATGCACATCTAATTCTCCCCCAGAGATTCATCTGTGCTGAAGAAGCCTGAAGTTGTGAAATACAGATTACAGGTTCTAAGTGGGATACCAAAAGAGAAAATTGCATAAATGAGCTATAGTAACTACTATAACTGTACCTGCACACTGTTGTACTTCTTCTGCAGAAGCAACAGCTGTATGCGCATCTTCTCTCTCTGATGGTCCTCCATAGGCTGCTGTAGCAGCTGCCCACCTCTCTGTAAAACTTCTTCAATCTGAGCTCTTTCTTGATCCACCTAAAAATCACAAATCTGTTACCTACTGAAATTCATTTTAGAAACAACAGCTGTTCATATATTAACAGTAATAGTACCAAACTGTTGTTATGTTATCCAAATGGGAGTCAAAGAAATTCAAGCACAGATTCTCCTCCACAAATACCAAATCCTAAAACCCAACTTGGTCATTCCACAAACTGCATAAAGAGATGCACTGCAGGAAACTTAATGAGCCAGCAGTAGGCAGCCACAGCAGTAGGGTCCTATGACTTTAGTTCCATTTCTCCTCTAGACATTCATTGACAATAATAAGTTCAGAGCAGAACAGCAAGAAAAGAAATTTACTCAAAATAAAAACACCACAAAAGGAAGCAATATGTTCCATAACAATACGTCCTTCCATAGAGGTCTTTAAAATTTGTTTTCTGTACTACACATGGCATTTTCCATAGACTTATGTTCAGCTTTCCAGCTCAGTTTCTATGTGAGGTGTTTTAAAGGAAGTCAGACAGGGTAATCTGACAGGACTTCATCCAATTTTTAAGCAACAAGGCTATAGTGGACAAGATGCTAACAAAAGTATGACAGTTTCATACAGATGAGTAGTAAAGCCTAGGTAAGAATCTAGAAGCTAAATTTAGTTCCAAGTTCTTATTTGGCCTTCCAACACAGAACCACATTACAAGACTCTTAGTTGCACCTTACCTCACAAGGATCCACTGACCTGACTTCTGCACTGTGATTCAATGTATCATACCAGTTTAAATTTGAACCTCATTACTTATGCAGTAAAGATTCCCTATAAAAATCTACTTGGAGTAGAAGACAGAAGACAAACAAAAATCAAACTTCACTACCTGCATCATCTAAAACCATGATGAAAATACAGACTCAAGTATGACTAGTTAATCTCAGCACACCAGCCAAGAGGCAACAGTTATGGGAAAGTTATTGGAAAATTGTGTGGTGTTTCTAACAACCGAGTAATTCCTTTCATCTTCTACCCCTGTCTTAAAGAGATTTGATCACAATTCCTCCGTGAAATCTGTAGGAATGTAACATGGAAACAAAACAGAAAGGGAGTTATTCAACTATTTAATTTTTTTATTGCTCACAAACCTTTTCATCTTCCCCACTCAACTCCAGATGCTTTTCCACAACTTTTAACATATTCTGTATATCACTCTCAAATTTTTCCAGGTCTGGAAAACCTACTCTGGCTTCATGGGGCTCTGACATGACAGGAAGTCGCTCTTGTCCAACAAGCATCTGCAAAGCAAAAGAAAAGTTCGTACAAGATGAAAATTTAGTTCAAGTCGTCACACACAATTTAATGATTTAAAACAATTCTCCATGAGCAGGCATAAACAGTTTGCAGGACCATCAGAGAGCATAAATAAAAATTGCAAGAGTTGCTTGATCTCACTCTGGGAGTTAGCTTGAACACAGTGTTGCTAGTTATTACCAAGCTTTTAATTTCAGACTTCAATATCTCAAAACAAACAAAAAAACCCCATCCAGTCACATTAGCTTATAGTATTGCTCTGTTGCTCATAAATATGTACTGCAATATATATACATTTTTCTGAATCTTTATATCCATTATTTCTGAATTTTCCCTTGTAACTCACATCATCACCTGCTACTCAGGCAAAAAAAAAAAGCAGTTGGTCTAAAAATCAGTCTCTTTTTCACATAAAAATATCTACACTTAAAGAGAAGCAAAAGCAGTAAAGTGCTGTCTGAATATGTAAAGATCTATCCACTAGAGTTAGCTGCCAACATTTCCTCCCAGGGATGTTCTGGGACTCGTTCATCCTCACCTTGGCACTTTTGATGTGCTGAGAGACCTTCTCAAAATTACGGTTCAGTTCTGCCAGTTTGGGTTCCACAAGTTCACGGCATGACACCCCCCGACCATTCATTAAGATGATAGCCTGGTCTCGTACATTATCCACTCGAAGACTAACGTCATCTAATTCAGAAGTTAAACGCTAGGAAGTGAAAGAAAATTTAAATGGTTATCCTAGGCAAGGAAAGAAAAATTAAAAAGAAGACCAGGAAGCAAACCTGACAGCATTTAGAATCCAGAAGTTGAATGGTAACATTTTGACAGTTGATGGCAATATTTCCTACCTTCACAGTTTCCTCCTTTTTGCTAGCTGACTTTTTCTCAATCTCATCCAGCAAAGCTTCGGCCTGATACAACCAAGTACTTATGTGGGCAACATTTTCATCAAAAATTTCCAGCTGGCCCTGATGATTCTGGAAAAGATCAAAAAAAGTATCAATGTGACCAATTTCAAAATCCACAAAAAAATCCCAACACAAAAACACACCCCAAAAATACCCGCCAGCCCTGCCAAAACCTCCATTAGGAGTAAAGTGTTATGGATATACTTTGGAAATAGAACACTGAAAATTAAATTGTACCTTTCATCTTCAATAGCATTTATAAGAAGTCAGTTTTCATTCTAGACCCTTTAATATTATTGTTCCTAATTCGCAGGAAGGGAAACAGAAATAGCTGAGGCAGTTTGTTCAATTAAAGACAGACAACCTATTACAACATTACAGCTAGACCACAATATTTCTGTTAACCAAAAACCCCACAATTTTTTCAGTCAGCACTAGCAGGTACAAGAGTATGCACTATGTGTGGTAGTCAGGGTTTTTTTCCTAATTGGAAAGGATTACACCAAACCTACAAATTATGGTAGTCAAGTTGTGATATTTTACTAGTTACATTAAAATATTTCTTCCTGTTAAGAAAAGTCAGAAAGTTGAAGACATGTTAATTAGGTCTGCTTTCGCATGCAGTCAGAAATTGTAACATTAGGTGCCACATACAGAAATAACACATTATTCTGTGCGACAAACAAAGCTATCAGATTCAGAAGTACCATTCCTACCCAAAAATAGTAAAGTTAAGCTTTGATCTTTTAGACTAAGAAAACAAAAGGAGGGGAGAAAAGAGAGAAGGCCTAGGATGGCACACTATATCAAGAAAAGTATAGCAACAATTTAACCTAACAAAGGACATAGACAAAACATGCATGACCTGCAGCAGGCACTGGACTGGAGGCACAGAGCTCACCATCTAGGTGTACACTAGTTTTCACAATTTCAGGCCATGTCAGGGGTTTCCGAAGGTGGATTGTCATACCTAGCTAAGTAACACCAAAATATCTTAACTATATAAAAGCATCAGTCTGACACTAGCACCAGTTGTAGACTGTTTCATGTCCATTTAGCACAAATAGCAGCTTTAGGTGTATAATATGCTTAGTCCTTCATTTACTCAGCCAAACAGACACTGTTGGCATATTCAAACACTTGTAGATATGGACTATCCAAAAGAGCAATAGGTTGACAGAGAGTCACAAGTGCTTTGCTGAACACCACTAGGAAGCTATCAATTGTCCATTAAATAGCCATCATCTGGGTCTCAGGGAAATCTATTGACAAAACCACTCTATTCATGCTGGAGCTGGCACAGAGGCTGAAGATTCAGACTGAATAGAGCAGCACACAGCAGACTCATGGAAAACAATCCTTTTGGGATAGTTCCTGTTGCATTCTACTTACATTAATAAATTCATCAGGTGACAGAAAGTTACACAGAACAAGAGATTAAACTTCTGGGCTTTAATTAACTTGTTATGTAACAAACACCTCCATAACTACTTGGTGGGGTTTTTTCCCCTCATTTTAATCTGAGGGAATCAACTATTACCAGTGAAGGAGTTTTATGAATGTCTGTATGCCCCACAACCCACTCAGTCTACATATGGTAGAAGGTGCCCTCTTCTAGGGCAGTTTAGAAAGTTACTTACATGCACAAGGATAGCAAGAATTGTATTAAGAGCTAAATAACATGTGAACACAAAAGGCTAGTGCTATTGATGCAGCAAAAGAGAATGCAATAAAACAAACACAGAAGAGGTACAAGAAGACAAATATGTAATTAAGGACAAAAGATTAAAAATGTAATGTGATAGCACACAAAGGGGGATGAGAAAGACCGAGATTAAAACAAATGTGTGAGTTTGTTCACTAAGTACATAATGGATTTTTATGGAAAAGAGAAATTACACAACGATGTCTAAGAAGATGAAGAACCCAGAAGAGTCCTAACACCGAAGCCAGGAGAAAGGGAAAGGCAAAAGTTAAGCACAGTTTTATTCTCTACAACTAAGCAGGTTATTCTCACTAGGCCAAGTTAACTGTCTGTCTAGGATATTTACATAGTTTCATCACTCTGCAGATTCTGCTGCCAATCACATGGCACCAATGCCTATCAACACATCTAACCACTTGCAAAACAGTTTTCCACCTTCCTCATTGTATATCACCTCATGATTTACCTCTCCCATCTACAGAGTATGTAGATATCCATTTCCACATTCCTTTAAGGCCATGAGGCATCATGGATGCTTCACTTCACAGTAAAGTGAGACAAGTGAAAAACTGCAACTGCTCCAAGGGTGTGGAGTGAGAACCACCCTGAATATTTTTCACACCTGCAACTTACCAACAAGGTGTCACACCAGTCCTCAGTCCAGGTCCTAACTCTGCTCCAGCCAGCATTAAGGACACACAGCTTCTCCTCCAGAACAGTCTCACTCCCTTCCACCAGAGACTGGAGCACAGTGCAACTTTCCGTAATGCTCTTCAGATCAGTTTTTCTCCTCTCCAGCTCCCTCAACACATTCTGAAACAAGAGAAGCCATTAACACTGCACTGCTCACAAAGACATGGGAGACAGATTTTCACCTCCACATGAAACAAATGGATCATAGATGATCTTCAGCGGTGAAAAAAAAAATAAATCAAACCAGATATAATTTCCTACTGTTTATACTCACTCTCTGTAGATAGTGATCTCATTTTTTTAAGAGAGAGCAAAAGCACAATGCATATAAGTGTCCTGAATAACTTAGCTTGAGACTTGTTTTGTAGTCTTATATCATCTTCAGAGTTCCTTTTTATTATGCAGATTAAGAAAATGCATCAGACCACATAAGTCCAATTTTAAAAGGTTCTTTTCTGCATGGCAAAGCACAGAATGCAAATTTCAAGAGAAACTCTGGATTTCTCTGTATCTTTTCCTAAAGCACTTTTACATTTGGCAACTGTGCTGGTCTAGGCTGAAGGGAACTTTCTTCACAGTGGCTATTATGGGGCTATGTTTTGGATTTGTGCAGAACAAAGGGTTGGTAACACAGAGATGTTTTCATTATTGCTGAGCAAAGCTTACACAGAGCCAAGGTCTTTTCTGCTTTCCATACTGCCATGCTGACAGAGAAGTTGGGGGTGCATGGGAGACTGTGAGAAGACACAGCTGGGACAGGTAACCCAAACTGACCAAAGGGATATTCCATAATGTTCAGTATATAAAGTGGGAGGAAGAAGGAGGAGGGTGAACATCCGGAGTGATGGTGCTTGTCTTCCCAAGGAACCATTACGCACGATGGGGCCCTGCTCTCCTGGAGATGGCTGCACACCTCTGGCCCATGCGAAGCAGTGAATTCTTTTCTTATTTTGCTTTGCTTGTGTGTGCAGCTTTTGCTTTCACCTATTAAACTGCCTTTATCTCAACCCATGAGTTTTTCTAGCTTTTACCCTTCTGATTCTCTCCCCCATCCCGTTGGTGGGGGAGTGAGTGTTTGTGTGGTTCTTGGTTGCTAGCTGGGGTTGAATCACGACAGCAACAATGAGAAATGTGGTAGGCCAAGGCTGAATGTTTTTTTTGAGAACCATTACTCCTTACTGCAGATGTTCAATTAACTGGCTACATATTACAGAATCCCTGTTGTTAATTACCTATAGAAATATATGTAAAGATATGTATCTTCAGCGCTACCATTATTTCCAAGTCATCTCTGCTTTTAAATAGGATTTTTATCTAAAAAAATAACCTTCTTTGAAAGAACGCACACTGACATGTCAATTAAGTAATGTGTGATCTCTCAAATAACAGGAAATGGTTTCCATGTGGAAAAGAGCACCTTCTGGCATACAAGACCACCAATTATTATCCATGATACCTGGCTAGCTAGAAAGATCTTTGATGTCACTGTACAGTGTGTTAAAGAATGCATTTAATCACAACCAGTGTCTGGAGCTCCATGAGCATCTTATTATCTTTAAAGTAAATAACTTATTATTTTATCATAACTTATAATCTTAGAGACAAGCAAATGCACAAGTTACCACATTTTAAAATTGCCTCTAGAAAAGCCTTAACATGGAAAGGACAATTGTGCATGCAACATAAAGGACTTGTCCTCCTGGTGGTACAGCCAGAGAGGTAAAGACCCATTAATTATTTGCATTGCTTATAAATGTATGGTAAATATACTTCCAATAAGTATTTAAAAGTTTGTTTGGAAAGGAATCTTAGGGATACTGCCACAGCAGAAGTCTAGTGGTAATAACTGCTAATCCTGAATGAAATGCCTGAGAACAGGTACAATAAGATGGGTTTGTAATTTGGTAAGCTTTCAAGTTTAAAGATTGCAGACAGATCCTTTTCCAAAGCAAAAGATGACAGAAAACAACTGGAAAGATCAGTATTGTGGAACTGATACAACTGACACTTGGAGTTGCTAACTCCAACTAATATCCAAGCTTCTACAGTGTAAGAAAATTGCATTACTCTGAAGCTAAATAGCTAACACATTTGCCTGTTTCCATGAAAAGTTTCAACTTGTAGGTGAAAGAAAATAAAGAATTACAGTAGCACTTTGTTTTGCAAAGTGACAATTTTGGAGACAAAGTTGTTTCAATGAAAAGTTACAAATTCAACTTTTCACCAATGCACTTTCAGTTCGCTCTACTAATGAAAGTTTTGACCCTGTCCAAAATTGTATTTGCTGATAAGAATATTATCCGTGTTAGAGATACAGTAAATCACTTAAATACCTATTAATACCAAATATGTAGTACTATCTTTAATATTTCACTGGCCATTTAAGTTTGAAGCAAGATTCACAAGATGAAACAGATCAGACTCACTAATGTACTGAATATCATTCTACTGCAGCCACTAAAATTTCATGATATGAAAGATTTAGTAACAACGTACAGGGATTTAAATTCATAGCCCCTTCGACATAATATTGCCATAAAGTCAAAAAATTATTCTACAAATATTTAGAGCATGCTTACTTTTGCCCAGGCAATTTCTGAATCTAGATCAGAAAGCAAACTCTCTGAAGTGGACTTCTGCACGAGGTCAGCTTCAGTGTTAGCTAGCCACTCCGACAAAGAGGCAGACTCTTTCTTCATTTTGCGTGCCAGCTGGGTTGCTCTTTCAAGGTCTTGTTTTCCTTCTGTCACCTACACACCAAAAAAAAGGGAATAAAGAAAAAAGAATATATTTTAAAAGACAGTAAACACAAAAGTGCTAGCCAGCTAAAATATCAACCCAAATATATAAAATCCTTGCATCTTAAGACTGTCTTGCATTAGGGAAGGACCCTATAAACATCTTCATGTTACTATACAATGCAGAATATATATAACTAGAATAATTTTAAATTAACATACACACAAAGGAAACACAGAAACCTGCACACAATCTTATTTATAGCTAGTAATCACCAAATTGATGTTTACACTTTGTTTATTATGATCCTTTAAACTGAAACTCAAGGGGATGTTGAATCCAGTCAGTCACTCACACAGGAAAATTCAATCCCTTTTTTTGTATTGTGAAAGATCTGCTGGCACAAAGCTGTGGGCCCCTTACCCACAACTTCATTCACAGAGCACTGAACAGGCATGAGTCTACTTGGACTTGTGTCCTAATTTAGGTAGGAAGAGAATTCTACCTGTGCCCTAAGGGTTTAACCATTTTTAAGCACTTCACTTGGCTAAGTAACTATTCAATTACTAAGAAAATTACTCATATCAATATTTAATGCACTTCATGGGAAATACAGGTTTGCCTGCATTTTCTATTTCATACTGAGAGCAACCATTTAGATGGATTACAATTCAAAATCATCATGACACCTCCTAAAAAAACTCAGAACGACTCAATTTACAGTCGGATTGTCATATGAGAAGTTTAGCTTGCAGTGCTCAAAGACTTCAATGAACTGCTAGCAGGTCAGCTTTGCCAGAATGATGAATGCTCTTGTGAACCTTCCTTTCCTCAAGGCTACCTCCCCCTCCAGGAACACTGTGAGCTCAGGGATCTTGCATAACTACAAGATTGTTATATGTAATCTTTAACCTCTCAACTGATGTAGCAACTAGCCTACGTAGTATCAGCTTCAGAATCAAGCTTAAAACAGCATCTGACATAAAAACAACAAAGAATAGAAATTACATGCAGAGAAATATTCACATGTACATTTGCTTTTCTTACCTGTGCTCCCAAGTCATTGTAAAGAAATTTCAATGCTGTCAGTTGTTCATCCATCCCTTTGGGATTATCTGTTTGTTGTTTCTGTACAATCTGCCTTCCTGTCTTGATGACAGTTTCAACCTCCAACTTCACCTCACTCAGGGTCTTGTAGAGTTTCTAAGAAAACAAATATGTATTTTGGTGACTAGTTTGTAGTGCAGATTTTCAGATTTTGCTTCATTTGGGGACCTTAACATCAAATGGCACTTAAAGTCTGAGCTATGGATTAGTAGCAACGTCTGACAAGATTTCAAACTCCTGATGTTCTATATTTTATTCTAGTTTTTATTTTCACACACCCAAAAAAAAAGAATTAGCTCAATAATTTAGCAGTGTTTACTCCAAGGCTAACATTGTGATCTGTACTTCATCTTAGATATCGTATTTGTTCTGTTCAAATACTGATTGTGACACTTCTCCAGAACGCAAGGATGAATCAGGGAAGGGAGTTTATAAAAACTCAGCTGTTCCACTCAGCTGTGACCAACAGTCCACTAGTTTTATGTCCGTGTTCTCACCCAGAAGAATATGAGGTTTTTAGTTATCAGTTGTTCAGTTAGCACTTTGCAATGAGTTATAATAGTTCCATGAGAACTTTAAGTAAAAGAGAGTTTAAGCAGAGGAGTCACACAAGAAATGAATGAAGAAATGAACTCAAGAATGAGTTAAGAACATTGTGTACATACCATGCACTTTTCCAGGTGAGACTGGATTACATCTGGATCAGTATCCTTCACATCCAAGACATGAAGTTCTGCTTTTACACCATCCAACACTCGCTTGCAATCCAACATGCGCTGCTCAAAATTGGCTGGTTTCTGGAAAAGCTGATACTTTGTACATACTTCACGGAGCTTTCTCTGTTTTAATGAATATCATGTTAAAAATCATTTTAGATTAGTACCTACACTTCAAAAAATAACATTTAAAGCATCTCCCACCACCGATTCTAACTCATCTCTCATGTCACCACAACTCAGTATATATGGCAACACTATTTGCCAAACCAAATTCCATCACCTACTCCTAACCTCCACCTGATCTTGCACCCAAGGTGCAAGAGAGCTGCAATTTGGTATCACACACTTTGCAACTATCCATTCTACTGAAATACAGAGACTTTCTGACCTTCAGCATTTATCCCATGACAGCTGTGAAATTTAAGCTTCCTTATTCAATTCACCTAGGGCTGCTTGTTTCCTAATGAAAGCATGTAACAGCACATACCATTTTCTTCTGAGGTTGGGTTTACTGCACCAAACAACTTACAGGCTTACAGAGTGTTAAGTGAGATTGTCATATTTTTACCTGCAAAGCATCCAGCTGTGTTCCACCCCGGGGAGATCTGCATTCAGGAGAAGCAGGAGGGCAAGAGCGAGCACTTTTCTTGAGCTCCTCTAAAGTGGATTCATGAGCTGCAATCTCTGCTTGAATCTTCTGCCATGTGATAGAAACAGGAAAAAATATGTTACAAAATTGTTTGCAGAGAGAGGAAGGTGAGCTTGCCTGTCACCTCCTACCCACCAGAAGTAAATGTACACTGTAAAAGTTGAACATCACCAGGCTTATTTTAAATATTCAGTCTTTGGTGACAGCTTGCCAAATTGAAAGCCACTGCTATTAAATACAACTATCTTGAAACAAGAAAACAATCCATATTACAAAACATACTAGCAAATCAGCACAGAACTGACATAAAGTCTTCATGAACTACTAAGTCTAGCTGGGCACTATCATGAGATAATTCAAAATATTTTGTAGTGAAAAGCTATACTGAAATACCTGGGCCTCCTGGGGCATCTGAAAGGCATCTATCCTATCAGTCAGGTAAGATGTCAGCTGTCTATCCAGCTCTGTTAAGTTTTCCTGCAAGACCTGCAACATGTGGTCGGTTTCCCTCATGGTCTGAAGCTGTTGTTCCAAGGCAATCTGCCGGCTCACTGCCTGAGTGGGACAGAAAAGTGAGACAAGGTAGAGTTGTAATTCAATACAAATTATAGCAAATGTTCTCAAAACAAGGTGGGAGAGACTCAAAAGATCCTATGCCATGAGGACTGGCTAAAAAGATCTCTATAAAGCAGCAATTTTTGAAGCTTACTGTGGCTTTTGAACTAGTGACTGACAGACAGTTGCATAGAAGAAGAGTTATGTTGCTAAATATACAGGATTGCAAAAACAGGTCTCTCCTATCGCCTCAGGAAGAAAGTGTTTTGTTAAAAACATACCAGTTTCAAAACTAGCTATTCAGGGAGAATCAGGGACTTTGCAATACACCACAGACCAACATTGTTTGATGTGTAAACATGTGCATTTTCTCTCAAAAATAAACTCTGTCTGTTACAGTGGGAAAACAGATATTCACAATTCTTTCCCTTCATTGCCTCTTCCTTCAACCGCAAAACTTCCAAGTTCATCTGAAATGTCACTACCTGCATGGGAACACAAATTCCCCACTACCAACATATACACATACAGAGGTGTGGTGTCGTCAACAGCCTAGTGTGTCAGTGCTGCAGCTGCCAAAGAAAATAGGGTTTCATATGGCAATAAAGTACTGTTGTAATGGGAAAAACTGTAGTGAATGCTAACATAAATGACAGCACATAATCCCCAGCTGAGGGCACTGTACTCATATTGCTCACTGTAATGAGGATGAACTAAAATTTCCTCTCTGACTACACTTTGACAGTGACAGAAAACAATTCCCATCCCACAATTTGGTAGGAGCCTGTATTGCCAGAATGCAGAATACAAGTTACAAATTTATTCAACCTGAAATACAGCTAGACTTCCTCTACTTACTCAATCTATAAAAGATTAGAATGAAGCAGAAGAGGAAGAGGACAATATAATAGATGGCTAATGAGAAGAATGTTTTCCTTATTTTCCTTATTTCAATGTGACATCTTCCTAGCTATTTGAAAGAGTGAAAATGTTACTTATGCTCCTCATTTTTATGGTTACTGAGCAGCTCATCAGTATTTATGGCAACAAGAAGGCAATATTAACCTCAGTTACTAAACTATCCCTCTTGAGTTTGAAACTGCCTTTTTGTCAAAATTACTCAAAAAATACCAGGGAGTCCGCACAGTTCAAGGACATGTTAAGCTTACAAAACAAAACTTGATTCAAGCCATGAAAAAAGAAAAAATAAGAAAAGCATCTTGCTCTTTGGGCATTATTCCAAATTGAAAACAGTTGACAACATTGTTATGGTTCTTCCTCTTTTCCTGTATTGTAGTCCTGCAGCTATGAATTCAGCCAACAAGAATCATTTCATACTACTGAGCTGAAACACCGAGTCTAGTTCAACTCTGCCCCAAAATTCTTACCAAGTGACTCAATTCCTCATAGCGGGCGTTGAAAGCTTCCAATTTTTCACTGATGATGTCATCAAGAATCCCTCCATCAATCAGCGTCTGCCCAAGTTCCCGAATCTGGGTTCGATTATCAGCTGGATGACGCAAGACTGATTCCAGCGACTAATTAGCAGAAAAAGTTTTAAAGGTCAAGACACAGAATATTACTGCATTTTCAGAGCTGGAAATCTGGCTGCATACACAGAAGTTTAACACTTCAAATGTCTTGAGAGTGCTCTATAAGCATGAATTAGTTATGGCTTAATTCATGACGGCACAAGGTAAATACAGAGGTGATTCTACTTTAGATAATTAAACTTCACATCTTTTCTTGCCTATTCACATCATTTCATACTACTATAGCAGTGGAAGGAATTAATCCATTTACACAAGCCAGTAGATAGCACGTGATTTTTATCATGGTATCGAGTACACACAATCACGTAACAGTAAAATTCCAGTGCTGGTTTGGGCTGGAGTAGGATTAACTTTCTTGACAATGGTTAGTATAAGGCTATGTTTTGGATTTGTGCTGAACAGAGGGTGAGAATACGGAGATGTTTGTGTTATTGCTGAGCAGTGCCAAGGCTTTTTCCTGCTTTCCGTAATGCCGTAATGGCAAGGAAGTTGGGGCTGCATGAGAGGCTGTGAGGAGACACAGCTGGGACAGGTGACCCAAACTGACCAAAGGGATATTCCATACCATAGGACACCATGTTCAGTATATAAGGTGGGAGGAAGAAGGAGGAAGGTGGGAGGACATTTTGAGTGATGGCATTTGTTTTCCCAAGGAACTGTTACGTGTGATGGTCCCTGTTCTCCTGGAGATGGCTGAACACCTCCTGTCTTCGGGAAGCAGTGAATTAATTACTGGTTTTTCTTTGCTTGTGTGTGCAGCTTTTGCTTTCTCTATTCAACTGTCTTTATCTCAACCCATGAGTTTTTCTAGCTTTTACCCCCTCTGATTCTCTCCCCGATCCTGCTGGTGGGAGAGTGAGCAAGCAGCTGCGTAGGGTTTGGCTGCTGCCTGGGGTTAAACCACAACAATGGAGAATCTTACAATTATCAATTTCTGATTCAGAGTAATATGCTCATTTAACATGAAGAATCAGAATGTTCTGCACATTTCAGCATTCTACTGAAGTGCAGAATTTACTCTTCTTTTTTTAAATGGAGCTATCTGAAAAGTTACTAAACTGATAGAATCATTATACCTCAAGAGCATCACTGACAGCATCCAATTTATCAGGCAGATTTCCTGTCATTTGCACCCTTTCTTCCAGATTGTTTAGCCAAGCTGTTTCTAAATCAAGATACTGAAGTAGCTCAATCCAACAGGACCACACCTCCTAGGAACAGCAGAAAAAAAAACGAATTAGCCTAGAATACCAGGCATAGCTCATATAGCCTATGAACAGCTTAAATATATGTTTCTGAGAAATTCACCTAAAATAGACAAGTAGAAGATATTCAAAAACATTCCATGGCACAGTATGTTCTAGACAGAAAAACCTGCAGCTACAGCAGGAAGATAAAGAGAAATAAGCATAGCAGTCTCTAAACTCATGCTGAAAGTATCACTGACACACAGGTTGGTATAATGATGTAAGAGTGTAACAGAACATATCCACTCCTCTTGAAGGACAGGACATACACACCCTATCCCAGACCATAATCACATGTTCTAATTATTATTATATTTCAACCTTTAATTTCTCATAAATTCTTTTTCATCATTTTGGAAGATGCACAGATGACTAACAAATGTGAGACAAGGTTATTTATTTGTAGAAGTGTTGAATACAATACAGATAATCAAATCAAAGTCAGATGGTATCTCATGGCTTCCAAGAGATCTTACGGGAAAGTAATCCTGGAAAGGTGCCATAGCAAAGTGCATTATGCCAAAGAACTGTATTCAGACAGTGTCCTTCTCCATTCCTTTTGTGCCATCTGCCTCCGTTTTACTAAGCAGAGAGCTACCATTCTTACCTCCAAAGTGTGGCATTTCCCCCGGATCCGATTGCACAGTAGCTGGTAGTTCTCCAGCACAACATTCAACTCAGTCGCCAGGTCCTGACCACTTGACGGCACTTTGGTGGCTAACATCTTGATGTTGTCTTTGAGAATCTTCACCCGCACCTCCTTCTGCAACACATCCTCCTTCGCTCTCTGCCCAAAGAAACATATTCCATGTTCAGCCTTCAACTGCCATATGGTCAGCTGCTCACCACTCAAATCAAAGACCAGCAGTTTCACATTGGAATTGTTGCTGCCAATGTATTCTTGGGCCTGAACACAACAAACTATGGCTCTAACTTGCATGGAATTCAGATCATGTTAGCGAGTGTTGAAAAATCCTGGGGTTTAAGCATACAGATATATTTATCATTTATAGTGTGTTCATTAAAAATCATGCCTCAAAGCAAAAAAAAATTAGTTCAGTGCTATTTATATGTTAGCATGAAAATATGAAATACAAATTAACCAGAAGAAAAAAAACCAGAAGTTTTCTAAAAACAACCATATCAGGAGAAAACAGTAGGGTGAATTTACAGAAGTTACAAGTATCGGAGCTCAGTACTTATCTCCCAAAGTTATCCAGGAAAGATGATGTAATTACACAGGATGTGCAACTACAAAGCTGGGACATCTCCCACAGCTGTTGGGTGCACTACAGGAACATGCTAAGGACAACTACAAGAATTCCTTCAATCTAACTACACTCAGAGGAGTTTGGCAACAAATACAAAGGATAAGCAGAGTACAACACTCAGCACACAGGTCTGGAAAAATTGCATGATCAGCTGTCAAATTTTGCCTAAAACAGAATTCAGGAAGGAGGATAGCTGGAAGACAGGTCAGGCAGACCAGTCTGAGCCTGTCTTTGTTAAGACAAATAGAAGTCACCAGAAATAGAGACTGTCCCAGGGGCTTCTTTTCATTTTTCAAGAACAGTTTTATGAAGTTAGAATACCGCTGATATATAAGGCACTGCACTTTATGGTGGAATGCAGTACATGACAACATAATTTTTGCACATATTTCTCAAGGTGTCTTGTAAATGTAAGGCAATTAAAAAGAAAAAAAGCGCCAGTTAATAGAAGGACAAAGAATGGAAAATTTAGGGAACATATTTTATGGCTGGATTATCAAAAACCATCCAGCCTCTTCTTAAACCTACTCCTTCAAATGTCAGCAGGAGATCCTGACTCTGTGTTCAAATGAGAGCAGAATTAGGCAAGCTCAAAACCTTATGCAAAAACGCTCCTGGTCAAATACAGGGAGTGCTCTTTCCCAGTCCTAAGAGTAGCTCCAGGATAATATTGTTGCTGCAAATGAAAGTGGAACTGCATGTATTACAACAAGCTTACTGGTTCACTGATATAACTGTCAAACTTTAAAATACATAATATAATCTGGATTTGACAAAGGTTAATGTGTTCAAAGTCACACAGATTTGCCAATGAAAAGAGGGTTCTCTCTTTCCTTGGCTTGTGTTCAGCCAGATATCGGAATATATGAGCTTAAATGGCTTTAAAGGACATGAATATATTAAAATACTTGTTAAAGACTGCTTCAGAAAGCCCCCTTCAAAAAGAACAATTCAGAACTTCAAACAGCTTTGTCAAAGCACTTGTAAGGGAGAAAACTCTTTTTTATAGTCCTTTGAGTTACAGTGTAGTGGATACTCATTTAAATAACCTACATACAAGTCAAAACACTTATGAAGATATGCCTGAATTCTCAGATTTAAAAGTAGAGAGAATTATGAGCTCTGTATATGTATCTAAGAAAATTATCAACTGATAATTTGTAATAAAACAAAACTATCTCCTTCCTCTCCATTTATTTGGCCACCAGACCCAGAGGTAGAGAAGCAGGGACGAACATCACTCACAGATCCTTGTGGATCCCTTCCAACTCAGGATATTAAATTATTACTGTTTTCAACAGATGAACACAAGATAACCTTACAACAGACCTGTTTTAAACTTATTTTCTAAATGTGAAGTTACAATACGCAGGGGACAAGAAAGTGAAGCCCAAGAGTTAGAAGCAGGAGAATGTTTTCACAAATGCTAATTTACATAGGTAGAATATCATCTTTTCCTTCTTAAGTTTTATCTCCTGCAAAAATTTCCCATATTTTTAGTGTTTAATATGCTAAACATTGTAAGCCTGACTCAACAGCTGGGCAAGCTGGTATTCATTATGAAATCCCTACCCCTCATAGTCAAAGAGAACATCTGCTTTTATAGCTTATGCTTTAAAAAGCAAAAAATTCCACAAAGCAAAGATGCAAAATGCCACCAGTCTTGCCATGGCCTGAGCTCCTTTCCGCATAGACAGTAATTCCAGAAAAGGTCACCCCAAAGCTGATGGGTTTTGTTCCTCTTTATTCAGGTCTCTACAGTGACCTGGTATTGCTGACCTTCATTTCCTCTACCGCATTCTCTAGCTCTTCTGGTGACTTGTATTCAAAATCTTTCTCCAAATATTCTTCTTCAGCTTGGGTCATCCATTCTTGCATCTCTGCCAAATCCTTCTTCAGATTTACAGCTTTTTCCTGACTTTCAGACAGGCGATTTTTCTGACTAATGATCTAGAATCCAAGGTGGAGAAAAACACCAGTTTTGTTACTTGAATGTCCTTGTACATATGAAAAAAAAACACAAGTCTTTGTTAAAACATTTTACTACCAAAACATTTTCCAGCTTTTTTAATTAACAAAAGACTTTTACATACACATACAAATTCATTAACCTTTTCTAGTAGATCAACAAAATCTAGATGTGAGGAAAGGAGGAAAATCTTTTTGCCCTGATTGCATGTAAACTGGCAACAATCCCTGGAAAACGTTAGATAGAATAAAACCCTTTTCTGATCAAAGTATCATATAGTTAGCTATATCTCTATACAGAATACTGAAACTCTCATCAGGCCTCACTTATTTCCACAGCCCAGGCAATCTGGATTCTATATCAACAGCAAAGTTCTCCAACACAGATCCTTGCCAGGAATTGCAACTAAAGTATGTTTCTAGAGACAGCAGAAAGCTTCTACCCAAAAGAAACAACTAAATACACCAGACTGGAGAGGTGGTATATTTATAGCCATTTATTTTTCAAACCTGTTTGGAAGCAGACAGAAATTAAACAGGGACAGAGTAATATTCCAGATTTCAAGAAAGAAATAAAAAGAAAAACCCAACAAACCACAAAAAAACCCACTTGCCTCTCACACACCCTAGAACAAGCAGCATGAAGCAAAATAAACAAATTCATTTTTAATTACAAACAATGATAGAGTTTGCTGTGGTCCTTCCAGTTAGGTACGAAGAAGCACACGTATTCAAACAAATCTACTGTTGCAGATGCATTCCCTAACATTCTTGCACTTCTGAAGGATTCACTGGGCCAAGATGGACTTCAGCCACTTTTAGAGTGGAACAAGTAAAACATACTCATTCCACTTTTTCCACCATTACATTGCTTCACCTCTTCACCATCGTACCAATGCCACACAGCCAAACAGACAGCTGCAGTAACAAGCAAGTACTAGTAAAGCATAGAGAACTCACCAGTTTGCTCAGTTTCTCCCACTGAGTCTGGCAGTCTACTAGCCTAGACTTTGTCCAAGTATTTATGCTTGCAATAGGCTGAGCTCTTAAAGCAGACTCCACTTCTTTCATCTCTTTCAGTGATGGTTCAATTGTCTCCATTTCATTGACAAACAGCTGAGTGCACATCAGAGAAAAATCAAAGCTGTTCTTTAGCAAGATATTACAAAAATTTATAGGATACCAATAATTTTGTAACTTTTCATTATTCTGGAGGAACTTTTTAGGAGCAGAACGATACCATGCTCAATACTAGACTGCTTAAAACAATCTTTCAGTGATTCAAAACATCAAGGCTATGCAGCTAAAAAACAAAATACAGCTTGCCATACACAGCATAAACATTCTCACATGCCAGATGTCACCACCAGAACAACACAAGTTTAAAGATTATGTGCACTAAATGCCCTGCTGTTTCTGGCATGCATCAATTTATATTCTTCTCCTGGAAACAAACATTTGAAGGTACATGGTAATTACTTACTACAGGATGAAATTCTGCATAACTATGATCATTACATGCCACTGACAAGGAAGGAATCTTTCTTGTAAGGCAGATACAGTTCTAAACCTTAGGACTTTCATCAGCTTTATCTGCTTGTTACTTTTACTGTCCTTGGAAGTTTAATGAAGGAAATACTTTTACCCACAGACTCAAGTCCACAATCTCAAAAACTGGGAAAAAATATAAACGTTTTCAGAGGACATAATGCCAACTTGTAGATGACTATTTGTGAATACGGTGAGGACCTTTGAAAAGTACAAAGTGTTATGGCTACAAACAAGAAATCAATTAAAAGGTGCCCTGGAGAAAGATACGATTTTTCTGGTGGGCTTTGTGGAATATGCTCTGGGCAATACTTAATAATACAAGCAAAATAATAAAGGCAAGATGCAACTTGTTATTTCAAAAGATTCCTTAAAACAGCAAAACTCACTGTGCACTGGTCAAGTTGTCTTTGAAGTCCTTCAGTATCTCCTTGAACAGCCTTTTCTGACATTAAGAAGTCTTTCACACCATCCATCCACTTCTGGACAACTTTTGAGTCAGTCTAAATCAAATATAGTAAGGAAAAGCTGATACAATGTTGTGATGAAGAATGTATGGCTGTTAAATGTCAACCTCTAGCAGGGTCAAAAAAATATTCTACAAGCTGCTAGCATTGTCTTTGTTTTCAAGTAGACCAACTTTGGTTTAATTTCTGGGTTTGCTTTGTTGTTTGGGGTTTTTGTTGTTTTGGGGGTTTTTTTTGGGGGGGGGGAGGGTGTCCCAAATTTCTGCTCTCAAAGTTATATAAAAATTAAATTTACAATACTGATATTCTTCCATCCACCACAGCATGTTTTAATTGACACTGCACTGCTCCAAGCTACCTATCCAAAGCATGGGATCAAGTAAGGAGGAGAGCATGGCTTCAAGAAGCACACGGCTCACATGAAAGACCTGACTGAGGGCTGGGAATAGCATTTTCATGATGGCAAAAGCTATGCATGACTGTTTACACTACACTTGTTTGAAAGAAACTGCACTCCCAAGGAAAAGAGAGGCTCCTATAAAAATATATACATGGAGAAGAGGAGTGGATAATGCTGAACATACTTGACAGAGAGAAACTATGCTGGAAAAGCTGTTTGAATAACAGAGAGGCACAGACACTAAAAAAAATTATAAGAGAGTATTAGACTAACAACTAAAATTAAAAAAAAAAAAACAAACAAACAAACAGCCTAGCTCTTTGGGGCCAATAGCTGCTACTGTACACACTAGAGCAACTCAGGGAAAAAAAGTAAATAGACACCCCATTTCAGAATTATCTGATCTAACAGTTGGCAGTTGCCTTATAACCTGCAATCAAGTAGGTAGGTAGACAGAAGCACTGTCATCTCCTTCCCCTGAAATTTGTGGATGTTCCAAATCACTCTTACAAACAAAACCAACACAAACTTAGAGCTCAGAGAGAGTTTTTCCTTGTCCAGGTTCAACCAAGTTATGTGGTTGCTATTTTATAATTAAATAGTTGGACTTCTTTAATCTACATGTTTGGACTGTTTGGATGGGGTTTTTAATAGATGACATCTATGTATCCTGACACAATTGTCATTATAGAGCACTCTTATTGAGAAGCCGAACCAAAGCTCATTAGCTTCACCTTCTACTCTATATTTCACCAAGGAGAGCACACACCTTGTTTTCTTAAAACCCACACAAACAGTTTTTTCAAGATCAGTATGTTACACGCTGCTTCTCAAAAAAAATGCTTGCACTAATAAAAACCCATTAGACTAAGTTCATGTTTATTTTTAGACCAATGTTACCATTAGAGGTCAAAGTCATGACATTTTCTTCATTCTTTTTCCATTTTGGGGGAATTTTCTGCAGTTGATTGGCCCAAAAACCATTTTTGAAAAACAGACACCAGGAGGTTTAACAGGGAACCACGGCTTAATGTAAAAAAAATACATATTTATAAAGGCTGCCATTTGACAAGGCATTTCACCACATACCTAATTTAGCTTCCTTACAATAAGCTACTTGTATAAGTTGATGGAGTGAATTAAGCGGGATTACTCACAAAGTTAGACATACATTTAAGTTGCTGAATCACAAGACAGGTCTATAGAAGTTTAATGAAGTAAGTGCTCCTGCATTGCACAGGTAAATAATTATCAGTGGTCAAATACCCAGAGTAGGTTGTTGATGTACAAGAGCTCACAAATTTTAGACATGAATTAAAACACTGACTCATTCTCATCACAGAGAATGGTTTGGTTTGGAAGAGACCTTAAAGACCATCTAGTTCCAACACCCCTACCATGGACAGGAACACCTTCCATAAAATCAGGTTGCTCAAAGTTCCATCCAGTGGTGCCTTGAACACTTCCAGGGATGAGGCATCCACATCATCCATGGGCAACCTGTTCCAGTGCTTCACCCTCACAGTAAAGAATTTTTTCCTAATATCCAATCTAAACCTACCCTCTTTCAGTTCAGAGCCATTATCCCTTGTCCTACCCCTACATGCCCTTATAAAATTTCTCCAGCTCTCCTGCAGGCCCCTTTCAGTTCTGGAAGGCTGCTCTAAAGTCTTCCCAGAGCCTTCGCTTCCCCAGGATCAACTTTTAAAATTTATTCCAGGCAGGAACAAAGATTAAATGTGCTGAATCTTTACTTGCTCGCTCCTAGAAAAGCCACATGATGTACAGCCATGCAGTAGATTTAGAAGATTTGAAGGTGATACATAATCAAAGACATAGCAAGCCATACAATATTACAGATATGATTACAGAGAATACAAGATACAGAAAATTTCTTCTAGAAAATACAAGATGAAAAACTGATAAAATGAGCCTTCTCTACTTTTTCCATCACATGGGTATTAGTTACTCCCAGCAAAACATCACTCCCAGATCATGTCACTGATGCATGTGTTGTCAGCTTGGGGGAGCTTCTGTCACATCACAAATCTCAGAAGGGCCACCCAAGCAGCAGAACTCCCAGGCAGATCTGCCACTGACTTGCTCATCAAACTAACAAGAACATTTTAAGCATTGTTCACCTGTCTGCTCACTGTTACGATGACAAAATTTACATTGCTTCTTTTCAAAAGCCTAAACATGAGCCTAAACATGTTTTGGGAAATGCCAGTTTTTAAAGGTGAATCAGGAAAAAAAGAAACACTAAAAACAAACTAACACTTGTCTGTAGTTGCACATGATCACATGTTCTCCAGGAGCTGCCATTCACCTATTCCTTTTTTTAAAAAAAAAAATTTCTCCCCCACTTTTACTTTTTTTTCCCCTTTAATAACACAATGCTTCAACTCATCTCTTAACCAAGGAGACACTGCCCAGCCATTCTCCACACTAATTTTGTGTCTCTGGTATCTCCACTACCGACCCATTCAGTGTCTGCACCAGGACCATACACCCAGTCTGCCATATCAATCTTTCTTGCAGTACATGTTCCATCCTGGTCTGTCCAATGCACTCCACAACATTTTTACGCAACTGGTTCCACATTCCCATTTTTATTTAAACAGTGCTAGACCACAAAAATCTCTGTATACGTTAGTACCATTCCTTCAAAAGGAAAAAAAACAAGAGAATATAACATGACTGTCCATCCATTGAGACTTTTATGGAATATTTACAAAACACAGGAACTGAGTACTTAAAAATATAGTTCCTAAGTGAATACCCCCAATGTAAGCTCCATATTTCTACATAAGGCACCACTAAGTATTTCTTCCATTCTTAATTATTGAATAATAATAATTCAGTATTAATAAAACTATTATTGCTAAAACAATTAATTAATAATTGCTTCCTTTGGGGTTTTTCTGTTATATTTTCTTTCTCAGCTTCTGTACTTCCTTTCCAGATAACAGAAAAGTTCTTAACATCTTGCTCATGACCAAATTGTGTTCTCAGACCTACACAACAGTGTGCTGCTTCAATGCTCTGCTCTCCATAGCTCCCCAAAAGCCACATGGGCATAAAAATTCCTATCTTTCATCAGTGAGTACTTCATATATTTGGTGATACCAACATCACTTTGGACATCTGTGGAAAACCAGGCTCTATCTTTGGCTGTAAAAAATGAATAATTAACTACTAACTAAAAAACTACCATGCTAATACTGCACATGACTACCCTGCTCTCAGCACCTTACTCTCAGTTAAACACAAGAGAGATTTTCAGTTTTCAAGAGTTTTCCAAATCAGTTTTCACACAGTTAGAGCTGTGATATAGGAAAGTAGGTGCATGTACCGACCAGTCAACTGAACATGACTCAAGTGCAGAAAAAGTAGAATTCTGGATATACAAGAAATTAAGGGAGGGGGAAATGCTCCTAAAACCAATGAGCTAAGGAAGTTTTGCTCAGTGTTGCTACAGATAATCAAGGCAACTGCAAAGCTGCAATCATTTGAAGAACAAGACTGAACAAGAACAAGCTGTTGCACAAAGGACACTGAGGTAGGCTTACATGAAGAATATTTATTCTGTTGTGCTAAACAACTAATAAGTGTGACCAGAGAGTGATGGGAAGCAAATGAAACATGGTGGGATATTGTTCATTAAGACAAAGTCAGGAGAAAAATTAATGAGAAGGTGGTTGCTGGAAAGTAACTGCCAAGGTTAGAACTTGATTTCTTCTAGGCTCCTGTACAAACCACCTAACTTTGGGCTGTCAGCTCCTGTTGACCAGCCACACCACCTGCTCCACAGCTCCACATCATCCCACAGAGTGCTGCAAGTAGCTGCTGAAGGATGGGTTTGAAGGAACCAGATTGAAAGCAGAGGCACAAGTACACATGTCCCTGAACACATTTAAGGCAGAGGTGGCTGGGCAGGACACCTACAGCTGTTATCTTTATGCTTCAGGTAGTATAGCCTAACAAATGAAACACACATTTTTCCTCTGAAAGCCTGTAATTCCTCTTCCTATTTGTATGTTGCTTTGTGGTTTCTATTTACAAGATCACTAGCCTAGACTGGACTACCATACTTACGCTATTCATGAACACAGATCACACAAACACTGCTGGGAGCAGCTCAAGTCCTGAAATAAATAATTTGTGAGTAACACTTTACAAAGAGCATCAAGTTTTCCCTCCAGCCATTTTTCCACCAAATAAAGCCTTTCATGAGAACATGGGTGTGTACTCTGCTCTTAATTGTCAGTTACAATCTGTTACTCCTACCATGACTTCTTCCAGGTTTGAGGTTTCAAAAAGGAAAAAAAGTAAGGAAAAAAGACTTGAGGTTTTTGTTACTTCTGAACCATAATCGGTAATAGCTTATCCAACTTTCACCGCAACATCATGCAAGTCAACTACCTGGCCTTTGTAATATAAATTTCAGTTTAATCACGTGTCTATACTTGAGTAGTCATTACAGATCCTGTCTGGCTTAAAGTAAAAATTGAAAATAATAATCACTATCAAATTGAAGTTTGAATCCACTGTCAAATAAAGGAAGCATTTTCTGCCTCAGAGGGAGGGGAGAGCAAGACTGAAAGAAACTTTGGGGGACAAGTAGTGGTGTGCGTGCATGGTACCAATGTTCTGAAGAGGGTGCACTTAGAGAGTTGCTTATGTTTATAAATTGTGTGATACATCCTCTGTTAAGTGGAAAGAATGTAAATAAATCCACATGTTAAAATATGTTTAATGCATGTGAAAACACATATTTGCTAGCTAATGCACAGGGGCCTTCCTCATGAAGCATCTTCTTGATTTTTGAATTTTAAAATGCATATGAAAATGCAAATAACATGAAACGTAGTTAAAGTCTAGTTAAACAACACTCTGGGGAAAAACAGCAGCACTGTATTTGGGCTTTTATACTGCTGTGATCACCTTATACTTTCAAGATGATACTGAAGAATGGATAGTGCCTATTTAACTTTTGGGTCATAATAATATTGGCATGGGCTAAATCATAATATATTCTCATATATATTTTCACTATTTTTCCCTCTCCTCTGAAGAACACAAATAGTCTGAAGAAGAGACTTAAAGTAAACACAAATAAATCAATCTAACTCAGTAATTACTGAGTCCACTTCAGTTGAGTTACTTAAGCACTTCTCCCTCCCCTTTTTATCAATGGATTAAATAAACATCTACACACACTTGCTTTTAATCCTTTCAATTTAAAACACTGAGATTTTCTGTCATGCAGGATTTCATGTGTGTACATATATATATATATATATCTATGTAAAATATGTAAGAGTGATGATTAACCTTACTACTTTAACTCTTCTCCCTGACACTTCAGATATCATGGTTGGAACTGGAAAACTCAATATGCCCAAGCATTTTCTTTTCTTCCTTATTTAACAGGCTTTACTAACTCTTTATTACTGTTGATTGAAACAACACTTAAAAGGAGCAGATTTTCTGCAGCATTTATGGAATTATAATTTTAGGTGCTGAACTAGTAAGGCACTGGGCATCTGACCCCAACAAAACAGAGAGCATCAGCTCTGTTGGGACCAACAGCACAGCTAACATACCCTTGACTTCAGCACAACCTTTGCTTCTGGTATTGAAAGAAGAAGGGCACTAATTATAAGTGAAAAGTATTTCTGTCAGAAGATAAAATAATATCCGGGGCACATTAAAAGTCCTGTTCTACTGTGCTACAAGTACACTACGTATGCTTTCAGCCTCTGGCAGACTAGTTACTCATTAACACTTCACTTCTCAATCAGTATCATCTGGACTCCTGCCGGAACACAGAGAAAGAAAGGCCTCTAAAGCAACTGAGTTATGAAACAAAAAATCCTTTTGCTTTACCTCAAATAACCTCAATTTGGATGTAACTTCCTCCAATAGTTTAACATCTTTGGAAATCTTGAGCTTTAACTTGTCCCAGTGTCCCTGCACATACTTGAACTCTTGCATGTAGATGTTTTTTACATCCAAAGCAGCATGTTTCTCCAAAGCCTTTGTTTCTTCAGCAAGTTGATCTATCCTGGGCTTCTGGGCTTCCAGTGTCTCACAAACTGTCTACAACAAAGGATAAAAAGAAAAAATGTCTCCTTCCAGCATAAGCCATACAACAGGTACACATTTACATATGAGTGCAAGCATGTCAAAGGTTTCATTGTGCAGAGCATAGACTCAACCAAGAGTGACATTCCACTTACTGCAGTTATTGCAGCTGTTGTCCAAACAACCTTTTAAGTAGCTAAACCTTCAGCTGCTCTACTAGTGCAGCAGCAGAGACTACAGAAGAGGTAGAAATAAAAGAAATTGCAATGTAGACATACTAGGACCTCAATATTTTCATTCATTTTTTAAAAAAGAAAACAAACAATAAAGCACACAGGAAGAGGGTGAATGTATGCTTCCAAGTTTTGTAAAGTAAAATATCATGTCTAGCAGCAAAGAAAGCTCTGGATACTTGAGTTTGGAAAACTAGTTTTCTAGCTGAAATGCAAGAAGGATAACAAATGAATATATTCACTATGTCATTGCTGATATAAAGAGTCACTTGATCTGAAAGAGCTCATTTACTAATACTATGAAAACAGCTGAAGGTATAAACCAAGACATGAAAAATGCTGCCATTTACTTAAACTGGTCATTTTGGCTATCCTACTTCAATTTGCTTAAGAGAAATCTGGAAGGAAGATGTTAAACTTACTAATTTAATGTATTTGCTAATATATATGTTTAGTGTGTACATGTAGGATGTGTGCATATATATTTTACTGTATTTTTACTGAGGAAGAATCTTTGATGTTTATGTTCTCAAATTTACTTTCTTTATATCCTGTTTCTTTCCCTGCAAAGTGTGCCATTTCCTCTAAGATGACAGGTAGTAATGGGACTGGGAAGAGTGATGTAAGTTTTCATAAACAAGGGCTTTCTGTGCTGGGGATCACAGACTGAGAAAATCCCTGGCTTGGGTCTATGTCTGAAGCACTTCTAAGTGCCTACTACAGTGCAGAAGGAGCTGAACCACCCCAAGGTCCACAAGAACATCATCATCTACAGTTTCTTCGCATCTCCCATCACACTCTTTAAATCTCCTAGGCTAACACAGTATATCCTTTCAGGTTAATTAGTCTCTGAAGAAAAGAGACAAGACAAATTTGGGCAGAAGCAGGAAAAAAAACAAGCCTCCAAAGACTAAATGCCATTGCAATTCAGGTAGCATATGGACCAGAAAATCTCTGCCAACTTTAAACAATACAGAAGCAACACTATAGACAAAACCAAAGAGCTCAAAACTTGTTATAATCTGCATGTTCAAAAAAACAAAGCACTAACACTTCTGTTTACAGTCCTTCTGATAATGATCACACTCTGCTGAATAGAGAAGGATATAACAACAGACAGGGCCTCTCCCCACCCAGCAGCCACAGAGCTCCTCCAGAGTCACCTGCAGCATTCTTACAACACCACAGGGAAAAGTATGTGCTTCTGAATTAAACATGATTCCACAAAAGCAGTGGGGGATGGTGGAGGGGACAGGGAAGTGTTTATGTTATTTTAAAGGAAGCAAAAAAAAACACATGTGAAAATACTAGATAGGCACAACTCTCTTCCTGGAGAGATCTTCACTCCTGATCCAGTAACTGATATTTACAAAGCAATTGTCATCCATAGATTTTTCTCATACTTTACAGACTCACAATAGGAAACAAAATATTGTTTCCACTGGACCAAATTTGTATATCAACTACCTCTATGGCTCACAAGCACTGTTTCCCTTTGCAAGGCAATCTGGAAGCCAAAGAAGATTAGTCACTCTCTCCAAACATCCGAGCAGGATGAAGCAGAGTAGATTTGTTAACCAGCTGACCCTCAGTGACAATGTAAGCAGGCAGGCACCTCACATCTGGGCAGGCTTTACCCAGTGCTTGGAGAGGAAGATGCCTGCAGACTATGGCTTCTGCAGGAGGGCAGAGGCAGGGTCACTGATGCAGGGAGGGACGTGTCCCGCCCCAGCACAGCAAGCCCGAGCAGAACAAGCACAGGCATGGCTGTAGTGCAGCACAGGCAGGGACAGCCCCAAGGGAAGGGAAAGGAAGGCCCCAGCTCCTGGTTTTCCTCACAATGGCACTCAGCAGCAAAGGAACAGACCTTGGCTCAGATCACAACTTGATCCAACCAAGTTTCTAGGAGGAGGACAGTCTTGGGGCCCTAACAGCCGTCTTGGGACTCGTCAGCACAAAGCTATGACCACACCAGAGAACACTTGGGAAGATGACCAAGGTGGCCCAAGATACTGCAGCACTTCAGCAAAGATAGCTCAAAGCCTTCTCTTCCCCTAGCTGAGCAGTCCCAGTTTTCAGCCTTATCTCCTGGCACAGGCAGCAAGAGAAGCTTTGACATCTACAGGCTCAGACATATCCAGCCCTCGACTGGACATGTCCTTCATCAGCCTGTGGTAACACAGCTTTCAGCAAACCACCTCCAGAAGTGTCTTCCACACACCACTCCTTGACCAATATCCCTCTGAGTAACATTAGCTACCCACTGAAAACAAGGCAGGAGAACAGAGGATGACAGTAGTTAAATAAGCGATTTCCTCACTTCAGCGTGACGGAGAGAGTTACCTTTGCCTGCTGCAGAGCCTTCTCAACCTTACTGGGTTCACTCAGTCCACTGGTGATGGACTGTTGCTTGCTCTCCAGCTCACTCAGCATGTCCTTCAGCTGCTGCAGGAACTCCATGTACTCCTGGCTCGGCTGGCTCTCCGTCTCTGTACCATGAGAAACAGTAACGGAACAAAATACAAGGTAAGAAAATAGACATGAGACCCAAATTCTAGAGGATATGGACATAATAAACCTTCCCAGAACTAAAGAACTCTTCTACTGATGGAAACTTTTTTCTTTAAAAAAGAGTATTAAATATCTATAACATAGAAATATATATTATATAGACTATAGTAATAAATATACAATGACAGCCTCTAAAAGAAATTACAAACTCAATCCCATTTTCAGAATCTTTATACATATAAGCACCTAAATCTGTTGGGGTGGGTAGAGTGGTAGAATCAATAGTATTTTGGCATTTGCATGCCTAAATCTCCTTGATTTAGTATTTTTCTTTTCTAAAAGTTTTAGCATATCTACTATTTATCTGCAAACACACACAAAGATATCTACTATATACAGAAAATAAAGTATAGTATATATGATTAGCCATAGGGCACACGTTAAGTTAAACACATACACTACACAGTAGGCCAGCATCTTTATACATATATAAACACACGTACATAAAATACACATTAGTTTACTAGTACAGTTTGTACTATTACTATTTGTTTTGGTGGGTTGGTTCAGGGGTTTTTTTACATATATATATACCCACAGAAATATATAAAACCAGCAGCTTTCAACCTGTTGCTAGAACAGATACACTATCTAGGAAGAGTGAAAAGAGAATTAAAGTTTGGGTAGAATATCTGCTTGCAACCTTCAACTGTGCCTCAAATTTTTTTCAAGCCAGCCCTCTGTGGAATCCCAGGCAGGAGGCAGCACTTCACTTTGGCATTTCAGAACGAAAACAATAGATTTGGATAACCGCAAAAACCAGGATTTGACTGCTAAGACCTATTACTGTGGTAAGCACATTCTCTGGCCTTGGATTCCTAAGCAATTTTGTTACTTCCACAAGTGAAAAATTAATCTAAGCCTTGTTCTGACTTACCAGGTAGCTTTTCAGCATCTTACTGTCAGAACTGTCCTACCATTTATAAAAATGAGTCAACATTTTTAGGGAGAATCAGAGTTATCTGGCTTGCTTTTCTCAAAAAGCCAGGATCAATTTAAAGGGGAAAAAAAAAAAAAGAATTCAGTAAAAAGCATATATGTGCACTGTTACTAAACTACAGCAAATCCTGGAAGAGCAAATAGTTAAAATAGCCACACACTTACAAAAAAAATTGAGTCACAGATCCCATCAAAAAGTTGCCCATAGAGATGGGACTGAGTAGCACTCCATGAAGGAATTTTCAGAGGCTCAAAGAAAAGCCATGACAAGATCTGGCCTTCTGTCAGTCAAATCCTGCCAAGTTCATAAATGCTCAAGTGATACCCCCAGTTATTTCTACCAGTTATATGGTCTGGAAGCTCTTTTACCCTGTAAAAATTTAAACTAGGCTGTAAACAAACAACTCAAAACCTGAACTGACATTTCCCTCTGATCTTTAGCAACATGATTTCTCTGCAGGTTGTGTCATTCAAAAAAACCACACAAACATAATTTTACATGTTACAATATGTAAGGTGCTTTAACCAAGCAATAACTGATTCATGTATACTAGTAACACCTCAGGTGATGTGTGGCATGAAAAAATAAGGAGTATTTTTATCACATGGTATGTAATTACCAAAATACTCGATACCAATAAAATTATTCAAAAGTACACAAACTCAAAACAGCAACAAGCATTTATCACAGTAAGAATGAAAGCAAACCCTTGCAATTTGAACATGGCAGAGAGACACACCATTCATATAGTTTTCTGCCTGGATAGAACTGAAGCACGCAGGCCTGGTGCAACACATTATATAGATAGCCTAACAGTTTAGTAATTCAGACTATTTTTATTATACACAGAACAAAGTGTTAATGCTCTTCCACTTGGGGCCATTAATAAAACACTTCTTCAAATTCCTCCAAAACAAAAACTAGGGGGAAAAAAAAAATCTCCTTATAGGTCTGTGCTCTTGCTACTCAGCTGTAAAATATTACCAGAACTACATATTTTGTGCACTACATTTAAAAGCCTTTAGAAGCCAGCATGACTTGTTTGAATATTTGCAATGAAATTTTTAATGCAACAAAACGCCAAGTAGAAACTGCCTGAAAAGAAAGCCAGATTCCAAATCGCTTCAAAGATGAAATTTCCGAAAGGAATTATGTGTGACTAATGTGCTCAAAGCTATGAAAACGAATAAATTTCACATATGTACTTCCATTTTATAAGGTTCTCATCTTCCATTTTTCATTTCTAATAATATTATTTATTTCTGCAAGTGCCAAAGATTTTCAAACTACACTATCCACCTTAAATAGCTCGCACTAATTAATGAAGTTGTTTTGAATGCTGTATCCTAGCATAAGCTCCTTTTACACCATGGGACAATATATTTTGAAGGATGCACAGTGAAGACCATACAAACATGCTTTCTGGTGAATAATTTTGTCAATTTGATCCAAAGCCTCCCAGAATAAACACTAAAACTCTACCAGAATTCAATGAGTTTTCAACCAGCTCAAAACAAACAAAAAATAAATCAGAACACAAGTAAAGAGGAGGTCTTATGTTAAAAAATGTGTATATTTACCTTTCTTCAGCTGTTGGTGATGTTCCTCCAGTTTCTGACGAGTCAACTTGAAGTGATCAAGAAAATCATTCAAGTTCTCCTGAATGAAATTTGGAGGCAGAGGCTGAGAGGTGAGTGCCTTGCAAGTAGTTTTCAGGTGTTCCAACCGTGTACTCAGGCTTACAAGGTGAGTTAACTCCTGCTGTGAGAGTAAAACCAAAACCAAAATTTACATTTGTCTTGTAAACACGAAGATTTTAGTAAGCTACTGCTCCCCACAGCTCCTCCACATTACTACGGCAACAACATTAAAGTAATCCTGTGACACAGGTACCAAAAATCTTCCAGTCAAATCAGGTGTCCTGGATGCCTTAGAAACTGAGTTATATTACTGACTAGACTAAACTCCTCTGGGGCATCCTGTGCTGCTGACAGCTTCCAATCAAAATTAACAAGTTTTGCCAGACTTACCTGACATAAGTCCTTCAGGACTGCTGAGGGCTGGGATGCTGAAGAAGCAACATTTCTAAGCCAGTCATCCTTCTCAATTAAAGTCTTTTCAAGCTCACTCATTTCCTTCAAATAAGCATTTATATCTTCCTGGTACTTTAACTTTCGGGCCACTTCGTCTAAATTTTGAATCACATCTTTCCACTCTGATGATATTTTCTCCATCACAGTTTTTATATCCACTGTAGAAAGTCCTTCTAAATGGATTACATAAATTATTACTAAATTAACTGCAACACATTTTGATTAACAGGCATTTAACCTTTCTTCTCTTCAAATACAGATGCACACTCACATTAACATGGCAAAATGCTTTGATTCCAAGTCCATTATCTATAAATCTATACTTATTACTAACAGCATTTCAGCTTTTTATTTCCACATTAATACTAAACTGAAGAGTGAGATACTCCTCTTCAATTTTGAGGACAGACATATGAGGGAATTTTTTGCTGCATCACTTTAGCATAAGTGGAGCGCAGTGCTCTGGTCAGGGCAGCTAATCAGCTGCTAACAAGGGCACTTGAGACCCTGCTCCACAGATCCTCCCTGTGCTTCATACACTGGCCATACACTTGGCACACCTACAACACAGCAGCACAGCAGCTGCAGTCAGACACGTGAGAGGAGCATGTGTACAATGACTGGTCAATGCCATTAAGGCACTTGGATAGAAATGGATGTATGTACACATACAGTGCTGTGCATTACTCCACACAGGTGTAGCTGGGCATAGGTCTGCAGAAGGGCTGTCATTCTGAGCTGGACAAAACATACTAGCAGACCCTAACAAAAACAGGAGCTGTAGATTGGTTATTTTCTATAGATCTCAACCTTTAAGATATCAAACAATTAGAAAGTAATTTCTGCATCTTTCCTTTTGCCAATACAAAGCAGCTTTTTAACTGTGCATTTCTCATTATGGTCAACGGATGCTGCTTTCATAGCCCTGATCAAGCACAGCTGAAGGGGTTTCTAGAAGAGAGGGGAAGGAAAGATTTCTGTCTAGGTTTGAAAAAGAGGAACAGCTAAAAATTTTTTCTAACCCAAACCAAGGACAAATCAGTAGCTTTCAGCTATCAGCTTCAAGGCAACCGCACCCACTGTAAAAAGCTTCAGCTGTAGTAGACAAGGAGGGCAGGTTTGGAGATGCTTAGGAAATTGGGGCACACATGCAAAGGGCTGGCTGCAAAAAACGTGCCAATTGAGAAATCCAATGAAAATCAGCATTTTCCAAAAGGGATGCTGATCAGTATGCAGGACAGTGATACCATCCTTTCACCTGTCTGAATGTTACCAGTCATAGCAACTCCACCAGAAGTCAAGTGCATAACAGATCTAAACACTGTCTCTAGATGGTATTATCTCTTTTATGGAGATCACTTTTCACTGACCGAGTTTTGTCATTATGAAACAAGATTTTGGCAAGGCTTAAAGATTCCCCTTGCACAGATGTTAATTATAATATTCCAGGGATAAGTGTTTTCATTGACAATCAATCATTTTCCCAATCATGTAGACATCTCTCTTGCCTTTGAGCCATAAATTGTGACTGCACCATCAAAACACAATGACAGTTTTTACAAAAATAGATAAAATTATGAATAAAAGAGATACACACATGCATCAGGATTAAATTTGGCTTCAAAAATTTCACTTCTCTACAGCAGTTATGTTTTAAAGCTTTATACTTAAAATCAAGTCAACTCCCTCAAAAGCATGAAACTGCCATTGTTATTGAAATAGAATATTTTTTAAATAATCTTTAAAAGACTGCAAATGAACACATACACATTAGAGATTAATAACAATGCTTTTCTATAAGCTTTAATTAAAAAAACCCCACATAACTAACTCGTAACAGTAACAATGATCAGTGTCTCCGAAGAAAAGACAATGGAGAGAGAGGGAAGGAATATTGCAACACTTAACTGGAAATAACATATTTCAGTACTGTTTTCCAGCAATCCACAGATTTAATCAACTGATTAAACTGCAAAACAGAAAAACCTCCAACTTGCTTACCCTTTCCCATTTGATCCAAAAGAATATGTCCACTTCGTTTCAGTTCATCTAACTTTTGACTTTTTTCAAGTCTTTCTTTTTCAATCACCTTCAAAGTGAATCCCAAGAGAATATAGTATCAGGGAGAGTTATTTTTCTTGATTTCCCTCTTTCCCCCCAGTAACATGTATTTTCCCATTACTACCCAAAACACATTCAGTTTTCTTGGATACCACACTTTCTGTTTGTTCAGAAAACAAATGCAAAAGGAGTTAGCTCTCATAAGTAGAAGGCAAGCAAAAGACTACCACAGCACTAGGAATAAAACATTGTTCAAAGGGTTGAGGGTGCTTCAATGTGACACCAGCAGAAACAAGTCACTTGTGATCAAAAACTATAATTCTTTAATGTGAAATAGTGATTATTTTTTTTTCATACTCCCTTCACCTGTACAGTTTCTACTTCCAGCAGAAGGGAACAACCAGCCTGTTCCCTAGAAGTCCACACAGCAAGGACTATAGCACACTAGTAATCTGCTCTCGTAAGCTCTAGTGTTTCACTCTCCTTCACAGAGAAATGATGAGGGAAATTCTGTATGACCACCACAATTCTTAAAGAAACAAGTTCCCCCCTCAAGTCATACATATTGGTGAACATTCCTGTGTGAGTCAATAGACACAATACATCCACAGGGAGTTCCTTGGCCACACAGCCAAACCTTCAATATCCCCTATGATTACAACAAAGCATCTCCAAATTAAAATCTTTTTGAAACTCATGTCAAAGGTCATTACCCTGGTTTAGACTTGCTACAGTAAATTCAGAAGCATGAATTTATTTGCACAGCTGGGAAGAACAAACACTACACTACCCACTTACAGCCCAATCATTTAGAAACAGTGCTGTTCATGGGAACCTGGTGTTCATCTTGGAGCCTCTTTTATAAAAGGCTATAAACATTCAAAAAGATCTATAAATAAACTATTGGGAGGGTTGTTTTGGTTTTTATTTCCAACAGTACTGTCATTCCAAACATTCCTACTGGCACCATTTTGTACTACAGCACTACAGAGGAGTCTCCTTATAGAAATTTTTAATTATTGTTTTTGATTTCAAAAGCAAGATCAAGTCCTGCTAAAGCTCCAGCAAGCCTTCATTAACAAAGCATGCTCAAGAACTAAAAAAGGCAAGAATACATTCCTGAAACAGAAGGAATAGAAGATAAAATAGCTATTCCATGACTACCACAAGATTCTGTAAAATTATGCATTCCATCCTGAAAGTCAGCAAAACCATACACAAGTTTTAACTACCAGATTTTCTCCAAAATTAACAGAGCAAACAACATGTCCAAACATTGTAACAACAGACCACTTTTGACCCTGGGTGGTACAGTGTGTGCAGTGTCACAGCATGACTCAAGGGGTTTCTGAGCAGCCCACTGGTCTATCTCTGCCAAAATTATAAAAGTGGTGTCAATCAAGTCCATCTCCAACTGTGAAACATGAAACCAAAATATGCTACTTAGTGTAAAAGATACTAATCCTGAAGATACTTTTTCAGAACTCCAAAGGAGACACCAGTAATATATGTTTTTAAAATTTTGTATGGATTATGGAATTCAACACCAGCAAAAGTGTGTCCAGCTGGTCAGAGATTTCTATGTATGCCCAGTTCTGAAGCTATTTAACTAAAGGACTTAATCCCCTCAAAGTATGTGGATCAGCCCACCTCCAGCTGACAGGCAGCTTAGACACAAAGTATACCATTCACTGAAACACTCTCTATCTCCCCATTTTACCTTCAACTTTTCTTTCATGTTTGAAGTGTCTCTCATCTTCTTGTATTCTTTGATGTCTGTGGCCTGAATGGCAGATTTTGATTTTGAAATCCAGTTCAAGAGCTCAGCACTTTCTGCATCAAACCTGGTTTAAAAGGTCAGACAATGTTGGTCTTTTTCATTTTTCCCCATTCAGTCACTTTGTCTTAAAAATCAGAAGTCTTAAAAGTTCAGCACATAATTCAATCCCAAAGCAGCAAGACTGCACACAAGATTCATGTTTTTCATGAAGTAGGGCAGAGAGGAACTTTCAAAACCCTGCCATAGTAAAAATTATGCCGATGGTATTAGCCTTTGGAAACAAATTGAGAATGCACGGTGTGATTATTTCTTCTGTTTTTTTATACACAGCTTCCATGCAAACTCTGACTAATTGTTTTAATATGTCACAAAACAGGTCTCTGAATGCTGAGTATTTTGAAAGTAATAAACTAAACCTCAGGAATAAGACAAGTGGGAATTACAGTTCTGGGTTTCATAAAAGTCTGCAACACTATTTAGTCCAAAGTTTAAAAACCAGCAGCCTGAGGACTCGTGGCAGTGACAGTGGGCAAAACTTTTTGCACACTTAGCTGACTAAAGATTGACTTGGAGCTTCATATTTTTGCCTACAATGGACATGTCTATACTTATATAACTTTCTTATGCCTAAAACCTCTAAGGTACAACCTACCACCACCAAAAAAAAACCCCAATTTACTCTCAAATTAACCAATTGGAGAGATTAACTCTCTCCAATTAACAGAAATTAACAGAATTGGAGAGAAGGACAGATATACTATACAGACCACATTACTATACAGTTAGGCCATATTACAATTATACTACTTAACAGTGTAAATCCTAGCATGGCATAACAGCCTCCCAATAGGTGTAATGTCACTCAACACTTTCATGGGAAAACTTGCAAAATTCTACTTGTTGGTCACTTGCTGGTTTCAACATAAGTAAATGGAACCATGCAACAGCATCAGAAAGTTTAAACTATCTTTACTGACCCTGTCTTTAATAAGTTTGAACTCTAAGAAAATAGATGACAAATCACATCAGTTTTGCTTTCAAAATCTACAATAGTTTCTACAACTTGTGAGATACAGAATGGACAGATAGGTTGCTGACTGTTTTACTGCCCTGGGAGACAGATGCAGAGAGCACCCCCCATCAGGGCTCCTCAGAGGTTCTGACCAGTGTCCTCCATTCCTCCTCCAGAAAAAAAATGAAGATAACACTTCTTCACTGTGCAAACACATACCGTCTAGTACAGCAACTCCTGCTCTTTGACACACCCCTCTATCCTCTCCCTAAATGACCTGCAATGCTTTGAACCACTGACACCTCAAAGAAATGTTTGCTTTCTCAGCCAAGCACAAAAAGCAAAACGTCAAGCATACAGCATTTACTTTTATAATTTATCTTGAAACAATTCCTTTAGTTTTTGATATACTATTAAATAAAGAGAATTCAACACAGGTTGATCAAACATTGTTTAGCCTAGTCCTCCGGGCTCCAGAGAAACCTTATAGCAGCCTTCTAGTACCTAAAGGGACCTTAAAAGAAAAATGGGGGGACTACCTATCAGAAATGGCATTGATAGGACAAAGAGTAACTATTTTAAACTGAAAGAAAATATATTTAGATTACATAAAAGGAAGAAATTCTTCACTATGAGGGTGGTGAGACTCTGGAACAGGCTGCTCAGAGAAACTGTGGATGCTCTATCCCTGAAAGTGTTCCGGGGGCTCCAAACAACCACCTGGTCTGGTGGAAGGAGTACCCTGCCCATAGCAGGGGGGCTGGAATGAGATCGTCTTTATCTTTGGTCCCTCCTCTGGTCCCTTCAAAACTAAACCATTCTATGAGTCTACATATGCAAATCAGCCAGACACTCCAGAAATATTTGCTAAAAAAGACTTCACTGTAATATTATTCCTACTACTAAATACCAGTGAAAATAATTCCTACTACTAAATACCAGTGAAATGGAATAGGTTTCTGGGCTTTTTTTTTTTTTTTTTTTTTTTTTTTTTTTGGTGTAGCTTCTCCCATTTCTCCCATTTATTTTATGGACATTAGAAATAAATAATGAATAATTAAAATACCTGCCACTTTGACAATACCTTTTAACCAAAGATGAGATGACATTTTTCCACAAGAAACCAATCATAATTAATCCTATATTTTCAGCAAAGGAGCTGAGGTACAAAGGACTGAAGACCTTTATAAACACGCCTCATTTCCCCTTGAAATTAATGGAAGCTGTAGGTTTTCTGTGGCACTGAAAACAAGGCTGTACATAACATTTCCTTCCTGTTCCTCAAACCCAACCTCACAACTGCAACTTAAGCGTTGCCCACTTGCATAAAAGACGATTCAAAAGCCAAGACTCAGTCTATGTAGCATCTAATGAGCAAGGGAAAATGGTAGTGAAATATACTTACCTTTTCTTTGCTTCACTGTCCCCTGAAATTTGCCTTTTCTTGGGGAGTGGTGGTGGGGGCAGCTCCTGTCTAGATTGTTTAACCATGACCTGTTCCTTCAGTGGTGATGTTTCTGCAGCAGTCTTCTGTGAAACCTGTGACATCCCTATGCTTCCTACAGCTTGAGTTACCTACACAAAATAATTTAGGAAAAGGATGACATGCCATTTGTAACACAAGCTGTTTCTTAGTTTCTTTTATTCAGCAATCATAAAAGCCTCCTACAATTGACCACCGCTAGCTGCCATGAAGCACTTTTATCATAGATGCACTCCAGATTATGCACTCATTATTCTCATTTTACAGATAGGAACCAAGTATCAAAATTCTCAGTTCACCTAGAATTTTATGCCAGTCCAAGTGAACTGAAATCAACAAAATAAGCATCACATATATTTTTTCTTTCATAATTTCTTTGTTCACAAAAAGAACCAAGGTACTTGGAGTTTATTAATACACAATTCTCTATTTTGCATTCATACACCACAAAATCAAGCCTAGATCTCAGAAAGAGCTGATAACATGGTGAATTTAACCTATAAACTCACTCAAGTCAATAGAAACCTCCCATTCTCTTTAAAGGGTTATAAAGTAAGTCCCAGGGGAATCAACCTGCAAGTTCTAAGTATGTGCTTGATATTTAGGGGGAGTGAAAGGATGAAGACAGGATTTGGCATTCTCCAGTGCTTTACTCAAACACAGGAACAAATTAAAGCCATATGGCTGAAATGAACCCCTACTCAGACTGCACAACTCATTCACTATACACTAAATGCATCGTGAATCAGTGCCACAGCTTCCACCATAACAGCATATTAATAGCACAAAAAAGTCACACATGAGTCATAAAACTGTCAAATAAAATTCTCACAGAAACCAATGGGAGTTTTGACTAAATAAAAACATTACCAAGCACTCGAAATACTAAAATAAACATTTAACAATCCAGCTTGGCTATCATTGCCACATATCAAACAAACAACTACTCTATTTTCAACAGATGAGAAATCATACTCACAGAGCATAAATGCTTGTATGACTCCCATTTATTTATCTATTCTGGGTTTTGGGGTTTGTCTTTGTTTTCTTTTAGTATCAGATTTAATCCAGTCCCAGCACTCTTATAATGTTTAAAGGCATTTGAATTGATTGATAATACATGGCAAGCCTGCTTTACTCATCAGAAAAATGAGGCTTAATCTGTGTGAGAAAGGAGTAACAGTACTAGTCAGGTTAACAACTTGGGCTTTTGAAGACCAAAAAAAGCAGAGAGCTTTGTCAGCAGATAAAGTCAGCCCCATGTGAAAAAGCACTCACCTACCTCTCTAGCCTGATGCCAAGAACTCACCTGGGCAATTTTGCTGGCAGTATTAGCAAAGTTTGCATACATACATTCATCTAAACAGCTAAAAAGTAATAAAGCCTTGTTAAGTACCTGGTTAGAGTAATCCTCTAGCTTCTGAACCAAACTGTCCCACCTCTGAGTTAGCTCTTCTTGATCCTGATCAATTTTACTGGATGCTCTGCCATTCCCAAGGATTTGGGCCACATCCTGACCTAGCTCATTCAGCTGGTCTAGTGTTTGTCGTTTCATACCCATGTCCTCTTTCAAAATCTGAAGTTAAAAGAAAATATTAAAAGATAACATCAAGTATTCTGCTACCCCTTAGCTTTTAATTCCATAGCTGGGGGCAAAGGCAGGAGATGAGGTGGTGGCAGGGGAAGCCAGAAGCACATTTCTCTTGTGTAAAAAAGCACGAGCAGACACTCTTTGAAAAGAGCACATCCCTGAACACCTCCTAGAGCAATCAGTGCTATCTCTTGACTATCAGTTACAAATTCAAGTTCAAGTACAAGCTGCTCCACCACAAACCTACGCTTTGGAAAACATGGCTGACTGGTGGCCTGCAATAAAATCCAAACCCTGTCAAAAATCCAGGACAGCTGTTCCAAAGTTTGGCACACTAACCTGGAATGGCCATGGAGCATGTACTTTTTAAATTCAAGTGGAAGAATCTGGCAAGGAGAGAATGTCGACCTGGCTTCCAAAGTATCATCATGCATTCACAGATCCTACTGGGGTCAAACTGTGAATTTGCTATTCATCTAGTCTATGAGATCTGACAGGATAGAGCAGGGTAGCAATACTCACTGCTAGTTTTCGAACATTCACACTCAGGTCTGTTTGATCCTTGAAGTTGCTTGTCTGGACCTTACTCAAAGCCTCTTCTTTCTCAGTTAACCAAGCTTTCAATAAGCACTGCAGATCATAACAAAAATAGCACAGGAAAACACCAAGTGTGTCAAAGAGCTATTGACAATTCTTTCTTTAAGATCTTTGCATTCAAAGCAGTTCTGAGGTCATTATATACAGGAATTTCAGATGGCTTTAACAAAAACAGTACATAAAAGGTGACAAAATTATCAGGTTAGGGAACTAAGTAATACTTTCTAGCAAAACAATTTCAACAAAACCATTTTTCAATATATCAGAGCATATCTCCCCCAAAGTTAGTTATAGCAAACAGACATCCACCAAAAAGCTGACCTAGGACTTTTAAATTATGTTAGAAATTATCGAAATGGCATGTAAGCTTTTTTTGTTTTCCATCCTTCTTCCTCTGTGACTCAAACCCAGCCGTTACAGACATTTACTCACAGAAGCTAACCACTGGTAATTCAGAATTCCTTTAGTCCAGGCAGTCCATCAAAGATGCAGATAGTCATTAGTCACCTCCCTGTTTACTGCACCTATTTCCATTTGTGAAATAACTTCATCAGATACTATTTCATTTACTACTGACAGCTGGAGTGGTCTGTTCTGAACAGTACTAACTCCAGGATCTTGAAATTTTTCCATTTTTTTTCTAGGAAACCTGTCTCACTTCTCTTCAGTCACATAGCACTCCCAAGCAACCACCAGCAATAACTGGCATCAAGTACCAGGAAGGATTATATAATTCCATATTCTGTCGCAACACAGTTATCTCCACGGACTAGAATGCTCAGCTCTCTATCAAGCTCAGTTGCAAAGCCATTGGTGCATTGCTACTCCGTGTTTAAAACTAAAATCATACAGCAAAGCAGACCTTTTTGTTCTTTGAACAACACATTTTATAACAGCCACTAGGCTACTCAGGCTAGCTGCATATTTTTGGCATTATCCCAGAACTTACTACAGCAACTTTTGGGCCAAAGGGTTAAGGCAGTTTACATTTCCAATGTAAACCAACACGCACAATGTACAGACAGAAAATATGACGGTGGTGGAAATGCCGTAAGGCTGTGAGAAACAAAATTATAACACCATGCACCCTCTGGAAAACTCATGCTGGCATCCCAGCCAACATATTTTATGCATAAGAGGAGCTTAAAAACCCTTCAATGCATTCAGTTAATTTCTGCTAAATCAGCAGTCAAAGATCACTCTCCCTAGAAAACTGAAACATAATTATCACAGTGCTAAGTAGTATCTGGCATCTGGCACTGATTGAGGAATTTGTTTCCTGAGTGGTAAGAATTGTGTTGACTTGACAATGTGGTTTCCAAAAGCTTTCTAGGCAGTCACGAAAAGGCTGATGCATCACTGTTGCTCATCTCTCCAAGTGGCTGGACAAAATGGAAAATGCTAGTACCTAAATGTTTCTTACTTTTGTGTTAACAAAGTGCATCCAATTTTTAAGTAGTTTCATAATGTAATTTTTTTTTAAGTTGCTTGATCATTCTTAAGGACAGAGAACTAATTCCAACCTGTTTGTAATAAATGCATTGTTCAGTTGAACAATGAATGCAAACATAGGTGATCTAAACCACCTGAAGCAAGCTTCTATTTCCTCATTATTTGCTATTTGACGTTCTACATTAAACACACCAATTGACTTTTTCGCTGTTACAGAGCAACATAATTAAATTCAAATTTTTAAAAAGCTGAATGCAAAAGCAACTCTAACAGAAGATGAAACTTTTAACACTATGGTAATAGTCAATGAGTGGTCACATTTCCCGAGACAAATATAAGGGTGTAAGAAGACGGAAAGATGTTCACACAGAGTCATCAAAACTAAAAGCACTTGAAGTCCGTACCTTGACGTACATTTCAAGGATTTTGGGGGAATCCTTATTTCTCAACTCAGAGTTACCTTGCCCAAGAGTTGCCAGAAAACACTAACACACAATGTTCTGGATGTACACATACACAGGTGACAAAGCAGTATTTTAAAGAAATATATGTAAACTGATACTTGGCATGGGATAAACCAGAATCTTAACACTGGGTCCATATTAACAACAAGGTCACATGAGCAATAAATTCAGCTTATCAATATATTACAAATAGATACAGGAGGGGTCAGGGAGAAATACATATGCAACCCCAAAAAACTGAGACAAAAGATTCTTGCCAAAGAAACAAGGCTGCAACTGATACCAACAGCTATACCAGCACTGTTCTACTTCTTTCAAATGTCTAAAGAATCTGTGCACTCCACTGTTTAAACAATAGCTTACAGTGATAAATACCATAGTTTAAGAAAAAAAAACCAATTTCAGTAAAGCCTTTAAAGAAAAAAAGCATTAAATATCTTAAGCTGAAACACAAAACAAGCACTAGGCATGTGAACCTAACACATGTAGTTGTGTTACCATAATTTTTATGCCAACAGTTGATTTGTGATTGAACAGTATTTAATATATATGCAAAACATATGATATCAAAGCAAGGAAACACATGCAATGCTATCTTTCTCACAATTCAACTGTTCAGCTGAATTCAGCAAAATAAAACAAGCTCCTTGCTTTGCTATACCAACCAAATGCTTGATGTTATTGATTCTGAAGAGAGTTATCTATTGATTAAATGATTGCACAATTGTGTACATATATCCATGTTGGAAGCACATCTACCTTAATTAGGAAAATTTCTGTAATTACAAATCCACTAGGTACTTTGAGAATTCATTGTCATTTTGCTGTTATGAATAATTCCTAATTCTTGGTCATTTTGTATGATACCTTGAAGATTATATTATAAGGAGTTATAAACTTCCTTACTTCAACCTTGGAAATACTTCTCTTGCATTTCAGTGCTACTCTACTCCTCAGAAACAATGGGAATCAAAACAATAACAAAGTTAGTTTTTCAAGGCTTTTTTTTTTTCAGGAGTTGCTCAGTCCTAGTCAGGGGTTTGGTTGCTTGTTACTTGAGGCTTTTTGGGTTGGTTGTTTTTTCCTCTCCACAAATCAACCAGTCACCAAGTAACTGAGGAGCTACTAACCTGTTCTTCCAGCAGCTCCTGCCATAAAAGCTGAATTTCTTGCAGCTTGACGCGTCGATCCTCAGTCCAACGACAAACCGCTGTCCAGCGCTCGCCAAGCCTCTACAAAAGCAGAAAATGCTTGTGAACAATCACGAACTTCTCAAGGCAACTCCAGAAACAGATATTCAAAAGCATAATTTCTACTTCACATTAACCTCTTTCTACAGTTTATCTACCTCCTTCCCAGCAATTGCTATTGCTGTATTGCACACAGCCAGAGGTTAACACTTTCAAGAGCATTCACCTCTGGCCTTGTCTCTGCTCTTGCTGAAGTCGGTGAGCTATTTGATGGGCTTCAAAGGGAGTGAACAAAGTAGCATGAATTCTCTTTCAATAAATTCTGTTTCACACTCACTATGCTTCAGGTTACAGTCAACTTCTGACAAAAGCAGGACAATACTTCATATGGCATTTCCTAGATAAATCGTGTGCATGTCTTTAAATATTTTTACTATGAGATTTTAACTTTCTAATGAAAGCTACTTAAATGAAATAAGAGTTGTACTGTGCATCTACCCATTTTAATGAAACTGCTGAATGGATACACTACAAAAAGTGCCTAAGTCACTGGGAATGCAAACAGATTGACTCATTAGGAACTGAGCTTGAAAGTCACCAAAGCAGTTTGCAGATTTTACCCTGAGCTAATTTAATAATTCTTTAAAGATAATTTAGCCTAAAAAGTCATTTAAAAGAATTTCTTTTAGAAGCAATACTAACTTAAACACAAAAACACTGATTAACAATTATATGCAGAGGTTTTAAGTGCCTGTTACTACAGTTAAAAAAGGAAAGCTCTAACATTTTACCTGCAATTGTTCCTCCAGAACAGCAGTTGCACTTTCCCCACTGCTTTCATCAACAATGACAACCATGTGTGTTAGGGAGTTTACCTTCACCTGCTCTGCCTCTAGGTCACTCTGCAGGCTCTGGAAGAACAAACCAGAGGTTACCAACTTTGAATACAGCTGCAATCTGCTATTTTGGCCACAGCGACTATAACAACAGCTATGACAAAGAAAGTGCTTCAGATTCAACTGTTAAGCACAGATTTTACCACTGGGAACCACTGTACAGTTTAAATAAATGTAAGCAAAAGGCTGCTAGAAATGAATCCAAACCCATTGTGTTAAAATGTTGGAAAACATGGAGTGTTTTAAGCCGTACGCACCATACTTGACTAGGAGAATCATATGACAACTGCATTGACTTTCTGTATGTCTTTATATTACAGGTAAGAGAGCTGAAGTGTTTCTATACAAAGCTGTTATTATTAACAAGCAAGTATTGTAGGGCATGTCCAACAGAGAAAAATCACTAAGAACATTTATCTTTTAATAGCTGACAATATAATTCTCATAAGTATCAACAATGCTATAATTCATCATGATGTTCAAAGACAATAGCAAAAAACTGCAGAAAACATGCAGTTGTGATTATATCTCTGCAAGATCAATATACCTTTAAGTAAATGTAACTTTTTATCCCTGCATATCCTAAGCTACTCCATGAACAACATGCCTCAAACTCCCCAGGCTTTGAAGACAAAGGAAAGAATGCAAATATGGGACAGGAAGCTACAAAGACTAAAAATACTCCACTGTTCTTGTTCTGTGAGGTATGTCCCATGCTGGGGAGAAGGTCAAACCCCAACACCGAGTACAAAAACTAAAGCTCCAACCACGACAAATATCAAAAGGACATCTTTCTCCTCCACAAAAACATTGTAGGATAGAAAAACTGGACTTACATCCAAAAACTCAATTGAGAGACAAACTACTTCCAATATATTGTGCACATAAAGAGAGCAGTGTCTATGCACCCCTTAGGATGCAATCCCTGTAAAACCAGGGACTGGAATCAGTGACATGGAAGGCCCTTCCTGATCATTTTAACTCCCACATTGTTTTAATCTGCAAGTCTTGGGCATATTTTAGCAATGCCTGCCAGTGATTAAGGGCAAGTTTTTTCATACTGTTCCTCACACCAACAGTTTACCAGGAGAGGCCTCATCCCC